AAACCACGCAGACGGACGGAAGCAAGAGAGAGAACACTCAAACTCCCATCATCACAGACCCAGCCATGGGTCCAAATGGGTGCACCGGACCTCGGATACCCTGCAGATCACATACAGGATAGTCCAAGTGGCGCAGTTTGTCGCGCAGGACCCGCACGCCATCACCGGTCTAGTCTATTCCATGGTTCATCCGGACGTAGTCTCGGATTTCCATGGGTGACCTAAAATATCGCAACAATCCAAACACAACACGCTCCTGCTGAGCATTCATACGCCGGTTCGCAGCATATACTTGGCAATCGGACGTACGCAGGTCACACGAGTGTTGCACATATAAAAACTAATTATTACAAGGCGACTGCCTCGCTGAATGACACGCATGAACGATCGGCAGTCAAAAGCAGCATACCTAAATATAAGTCATTTGCATGATTGTGCGCAAAAATATCAACTTATCGACGAACCTTTTAACCAGCATTCCAGTGAGGAAGCATTTCACCGAAATTCTGTTCGTCCGAGGATACATCCTGTGAACCTACATGACATCCTACCACATTTAACCATCCCACTTGGCCGTACCGTCGTTGCAACCGTGGTGGCGGCGTCCTGCACGTCGTGGACACCCGGACCGCAAGAGGAGCAAGCGAGGAATGACCATTTGTAGCTCGACACTAGTTTATATACCAACCTGACTTTGTCCTTCATACACCAGCTGCCCGGTCCACACCGCAAGTCGCCGACTCTGATCCAGAGCAGAATGACGTATCAGTGCTTCACCAATTTTGGTGGGATCTAAACTCACAGACCACGGCTGGAGCTGATGGTGCCGAACGAAGGACAGGTACATATGTTCACTGTGTGGAAATTATTCTGTCCGGCGGTTTAGATACTAGCTTTTATTACGTATCAGATATACGTGTATCTGACAGTATCTGACAGTGTATCTGAACAGTATTGTCTTACGTTAGTTCGATAAACGACATGCAGGACCCTAGGGCCCTGCAAAAAACAGCTGTTTTCTGCATTAGTCCGAGCGGCCTTCGCGCATTTCCTGCTGCACTTTCGTTTCTCCAAACCTCATTTCATCACGCTCCTCTGATTTGATCACACTGTAGAACCCGAATGAATAGATCGTCCTATATTAGGGAGTGACAGTGATCGTCCTGGATGAGGCCAAATCCAAAGCCATATAATTATTGTAGAATGATCGACTACCGAGTATTGAGTCTGGCGTGTTCGAGTTAGCTCAGCGGTTGAGATATTAAATTGCAAACTTGTGCTGCAAACTACAAACCCTGTGCTTGTAACCTAACCCTGGACTGTCGATTGCTCCCGCTTAGGCTTGGACAGATTGGCATTATCTCGACTCTCATGCTTCCCCCGAATTGTTGCAGCTGTGGATCGAAAGGATGTCGTGGCCGGGCGATTTATTTTTATTTACTGAGCCTAATGGCTGCATGATTGGCTTAGCTGTAGGACTGTTGAGCAGTAGGAGTTCACAGGTAGCACAACGGCATCCGCTACGTCTAAACCCAGAACTGCTGACCAACAAGCTGTGGCCAGTACATAGTCATAATAGACGGTCGCCATTGTCATTACGCTTTGGGTCCAGACCAGCGATCGCTATTTTCAAATATCCAGTTTAGCCAGGATGCCTCAGCTCTGGAACCGAGAAGCATGCCAACACCTGCTCAATCATTCTTGACAGTTGAGGAACCACCTGAAGTTTGGAGTCACTGGCATTTAGACTCCAAAAATCTCTTAGATATTCGACTTTGGCTGCAGAAATGCAACAAAAATCAACAAATGTTAATGGATCATTGTTGGTTCCCTTTCGGTGCACACCTGCCAGGACATTCAGGTCAGAATTTTTGCACCGTTACCCCTAAGCCATATCGAGCACCAAGCGTTTACCGTTATAGAATCTACAGTTCAAGCAACAACAGCCTGCTTGTTAGCCTGTTCAGGACAACGGGGTCTGACCATTGAGAGTAAAGAGACGGATTCGGGTAATGATCTACAATCGACCACCTTACAGGTACTTGACTGACTTGCCTATACCTGGCAGATGCAGAAGTGTGGTCATCAAATAGGGCGGGTTGGGGATAAGAGGGAATAATGAGGAGAGATGGGGATGTTAGCAGTAACATCCCTTTGTTTACCCCTTGCCGTATTCATCGGATATTGCGACCCATTGATGTCGCCGCGCGACAGCCGGTGCGACATAAAGATGTTTTTGTTATGCGCGCATTTAGACACTGCTAGAGCACCCGAACTTGGCGAGGAGGAGAGTACTTGGTCAAGGCTTTTCGCCCAAAAGTCTGCTCAGCGTAAGACTACTGCAGTAGTCTAACTGTCCCACGTGTTCTAACGGAAATCCCCAATTAGCCAGGAGGCTGTTTGTCAGGTCAATATGGCGACTCATACGGAATCATCATCACCGGCTGTAGAAAGCCGCGCACTGCCATACAGTGATTCAAGCTGCCACAGTTTCTTCCACCGACGATTTGGTGAAGTGGGGTAGATACCTGCGGTAGATGAAACAATTGCCTCGTAAATACAAGGTTGTCGGTTGACTTTTAATTGGAGAGATTTGGACGGCGTCATGCACTAGAGGAATCACCTTGTGTGCATGGGCGCTGTTGAGGGCGTGACTGAGCCATGCCTGACAGTGTATCTAACTATTGATTTATCCCGTCTCACGGTCTCCGTCCAAGGAGACGGCAGTGACCAGTGCAGCTGAGTTTGCCGGTGGTGTGTTCCATATCTCGTTGCAAAGTCATTGTTTGACCTCCCCTGGCTCGTTTCCACCCTTCGCGTGGGTGCGCAAAAAGAACTCTTCAAGCGAGTCGTCGACTGGCATACGGAGCACGTGGCCAAGTCAGGACAACCTATGCAGTGTGATCAGTTCATCTATCGTGAGTGAGTTATTTCTCCCGAATACCAGACTCGGGCAATGCTCCAAAGACATGGATGGTCAAACACCGAAAGCTTTTTTGACGTCCTCGGCGCGCAGATGCCAGCTTTCTGACCCGTACGATAATATGGAACGCACCACAACTCTGTGGATCCGACCCTTGACGTATGAGCTTGTTACGCCTACGCCCCAGGCGATGGAGGTTCACAAAAGCTGCTCTGGCCTCCTCAATGCGAATGAGGACGTCATCCTTCGCGAGACCACTTGGACTGGTACAGCTGCCCAGGTAGGCAACTTCCTCTACTACCTCAATCGACTCATCCGCAAGTATGAGTTTAGGGTTCAGGCCCATCCAGCCTTGCAGCAGCACACTACACTGTGAGGGTGTGAAACGCATTCGAGACCGTAAAGTAGAATTTTTTAGGCTTATTTGATACCGTTTGCAATATCACGGCTTCAGATTCACGAAGAGCTATGCCGTCTGCATACTCGATATCTGTGAGCGAATGACTCGGGGTCACTTCGGCCCCACAGGCAAATGAGGCTGGTAGTGAGTCTTCCATAGTCGCATCAGTCACGAAGTTGAGGAGACAAAGTGAAAGGGGACAGCCTTGTCTGACACCACTGGATGTGGTGAACTCAGGCGAGAGCTTTTCCTAGACCTTCACACGTCCGTGAAGGTTGGCGTACAGCACCTTAAGGAGGGCCGATAATTTGTCGAGGAAACGTTTGCTCCATAGATACTTCAATAGTGCCTGACGGTCCACAGAGTCAAGGGCGGTTTACAATTCGCGAAAGAGAACCACTGTCTGCCGCGCTTCCAACATACCTACAAACGCCAGTGGTGCGAACTAAATTCCGTTATCGGATACAAGTCCCTGATGTTCCGAGGCGACCGAGAACTCTTCTCAGTCCCAGGATCGTACTGGTATTTGTGGGACCGTTCACTGGAAGAATTCCCGGCACTTTGTTACAGGCGTTCACTACAACCAAAAAGCACAGGCCACCCACTGGAGTTGCGACGTGAGGACGAGACCAATCTCTGGTCGGTTGCGCCACGACTTTACGTAAACTTTAGCGGGCGACTTAGGTGCTATGCCACACTGCAGGCAATAGTTGGCGACCCAGCTATTCTCGGAATCTATCAGAAGTTATTAGACAGGAGGACGACTAGGTTCCTCGACGAAAATTTTTGGCTCAATAGCCGGACTGCAAGGCAGTGGTTTTTGGGTAAAAAATACTGCTGCGTTTCCACTTTTACAGAACCAGGTGCCACTCGCAACCTGTAGCGTCGTGACACTGTGTTGGCCAGACCTCTGACCGTTGACCAGCATAGTATGGGAGTATCTGTGAGTAGAACATGGACATCCCCTAGTATAGCTCAATTAATCGCGGAGGCATGCAAACCGTCACACCACGGTAAACTCTTCTCTTGGGCAGCGACTTCCCATTCGATACCATTCGGCACCATAAACACCATGATGAAGTGGACTTCTTAAGGATACTCAAACGAGTTTTTTTACGAATTCAAGACCATCTTGAATACGGTGATTGAGAGCCGATAAGTAAGTGACCAACTTGGAATAAGGAAATGAAATCACTGCCAACAAATTTGACCCATCATGAATTTTTGAATAAGGCCCTAGAAGGCGGAAAAGACTGTGAAAATGGATGGCTCTGCAACTTCCTGTGAGATTCGTTTTTGACTACGACTCTTGGCATATTGTCTTTCCACAATTTCTGTAATCTTCATTAGGTCGCATTTTCCCACTTTCAGACGATGAAAAATTGTCCCACAAAAGTCGTCATTCGCCGGCTGCCCCCCAAGCTGACAGACGCGGAATTTCGTCAAATTGTAGATCCATTGCCACCACACACGTATTTCCGGTTTTGTTCCCCGGACCCCACTCTGGGCAATCTTGGTACGGCGAGAGCTTACATTACGTTCTGTGATATTGATGCTTTGTTTGACTTCAAAGAACGTTTTGACGATTACGTTTTCGTGGACTCAGAAGTAAGTTCGTGCTGATTTTCACAAGTTTCCTTCTAACTAAAGGGTAACGAGTCATATGGCTTAGTTGAGTTCGCAATTTGTCAAACTTTGGCCACAACCAAGGAAACATCCACAGGCAAACGATCAGAGAAGTTCGATAAAAAGCAGGGAACCCTTAACGAGGATCCCGATTTCCAGGAGTTTTTGAAAACAATACAGCCACCAGAGAACGCCACGGAAGCCTCGGAAAATGAACCGAAGAAGACGCCCTGGGAAACGATTTTAGAGGACATCCAAGCGCGCGAGTCAGCCATAGATAAGGTGACTTTCACTTCGTTTCTTCTGCATTCTTCCTTATTCCAAAATCTTTCATTGGCGCATCAGCAGTCCTGGACATGAGATATGTGCCACTGTTTTTTGCTTTTATCCTTTTTCGCTTTAGAATGTGCAGTTCTTCCAGATTCTGACGCGATTCCTGAAGACTTTGGCAGTTGGAGTATATGTGAGATATAACTAATGAGAATCTGAGGGCGTGTCTGTTAGCCATTTTTAGGAACCGCGCCGGCAGTAAAGTTTGGCAGGAGGCTGTCCAGCCAACCCTCGCTTTAACGCGTTGGCCGATGGGTTCCCAAGCCTATGTTTATATTGAAGACCTGATTGTTGTGTTATCTAGTCAGACAGAGGCCGTGCACTTACGCGGGTGTGCAACCTTCTCAAGTTAGTTCGTATGGCTCACTAGACTGCGGTAAATTTAACACGCGTTTTCGGCTTGTTTATGTAGGTGTCCAAAATAACGCTAGCCTCCAGGAAATCGCCGGGTTAGTAGCGTCACTTTGCGATAAGTTGTTCTGTAGAAAAGAGCACATTCCGTGGGTTGGCTGGTGCTTCAAAGGCCGCAAGACCTACCTCACAAATCGCTCTCTACCCGGCTCATTACGGAATGGAAAATATCTAGGGAGAGGAGAAATGCTTATGTCACTATTCAGATATCATATTCAAACCTGACCCCAAAGAAATTAGGGCTTATAGCTTTACAGGTTACATGTCACGCAACAGAAGTTTATCTTTCTACATTAACAGTTTGTTCACTCAGGCCATCGTCTGTCAGTTGCCCATTCCTTATCCTCCTATTGTTGTCTGCATCTCCGTGCTGACCTGTTCCACGAAGCTGTTCTCGTGCGAGCGTTCTGGTAGGAAGTTCGCCTATGTATTATGGCGACGACTTAGCCCATGGCATTTTTGTACGGTTACCGTGCTGCAGTTAATGGGGTAGCTATTGCGAAAAGTTGAGTTCCGCCTGATCTTCGTCAACAGATGTATGTTCACCAATCAGTCTAATGCTTCCGGACTGCAAGCTGCAGAGATTTCTGCATCAAAGTTTTTATGATTATGTATATAAATCCGTAATCGAACCGTAGTGGCAACCCGAGTCATTTCTGTTCATTGCTTGGGTAGTTTCCTTATCTCACTCGTCCCTCGACAAACGCTTTCGGGAGTGCTTGTTTCGTTGCCTGCTGAAGATGAAATCGCTTAGTAGAGGCCTCTATGAATCATACTCCAGCTAGTTATTTCTATGATTTTCCTATAGTCAGGTGAACATTCTCATAGGGTCCCAGATACTCGTTGGAATCCTGCCATTGATCAAGATTTAAAGGGTTGTCGGGGACCCTATTAAGCTAGCTCAGTGGTTAGAGGTCCGTGGTTAGCATCTCGTACAACTTCTGTGTGGGCTTTGGAAATCTGGTAGTATCTCAGCCCTCGTGCGTCCACTGGGCTGCATGACAGCTGCGCAATAAAAAGATGTTACAGCCACTGTTATCATTATTACAATTATCATTCTTATTGTATCATTAATTGTTTCAGCATTGCTCATCCTTATAACGCCCTTACTCGGTTTAATTGCCCGGATCTTTCTTTTAAATGATCGTAATTTCATGGATTGATCTGTGACATTAACCTGACTGAACCTGGTGCAACAATATTCATAGGGTTGTTGAATAACTTCGTCGGTTCCTTACCAGTTTTATTCTCCTTGGGATTCATTGGGTATTGTCTGTTGTCTATTTGGACATCAAATTGTACGTCAGTTAAGCTGTGGTCCACAAGAAACTCGGATGAATCTTTAATGTGTGCTATTCGTCAACCGAATGTGTTGACCAAAAGTCCCGCATTTCAATCAGAACTATTTCCAAGATACCGGATTATTTTCTCGGAAATTCCACTACTTGTGGTACTCCTTGCAGTGTTATATGAGAAAAATCGCTCCGATATCTTTAACATCTACCCAGCTGAAACATGAAGTGACCTTTTGGCAGCGGATTCAGTTGAGGAATGTCATGGAGCAGATGTTCAGTTTATTCTGTCGTGGGCAACCACTTACTGTACACACCTTTACATATCTTCACTTGCGTATAGTCCGGCGTTCAAGTAGGAGGCAAGCTCGATGGGCACTCGGGGACTCCTCAGGACTCCTTGAGCAACACTCAACCACCCACTCGACAAGCTTGTTTTCAGTGGATAGAACCTATTTCATAGAATTCACATGTTACAAGTGTCACCAAACCAACCATTAAGTCGGTTGGTGGTTTAGGTGGTAAACACCCCGTTTAGGAACGCGTCATTGTACTTTTCGTCAACAAGCGAAGGTTAAAGTCAGTTGGCACTCCCACTAAAGCTCCCGGATAGCTAAGGATCCCTTCCCGAATTTACACTTTGCAAGAACCGAACAACAAAACCACTTTCGCTAAGTGAACGGACAATAGCACTTCCGGTCCAACTGTTCAGTTGACTACCATACTAATACTAGTGTTTTGTCTGTTGTCTAAACGTAACGCGCTACTGGTTGACAACCCTCGACTATTCTCGCCCTGCCGAGACTCATTACATAGGCGCAGCCTCCGAGTTTCCGTCAACCTTATGTTCTACTCGAACGCAAATTACACGAAATTTAACAACTACATTCAAATGAATCCCATATGAATCTCTCGTTTGTGGTGTTTTTCAAGGCCGCCTCATGTTAGTCGGTATGGTCTGGTATCCGAGATACCACAAAACATTTTCTAAACGTCACACATTGTTCACAGGGTTTCTAGAGTTGCTAGGATTACAAAGTTTTGCGCTCATACAATGTCCTGTATCATCTCGAATATCATACCAACTGGAACATGTGACGGCTTGGTGCAGAACATTCAATCGAATAAGACTACTATAAACAGGAGATTCAGCTGTCTCTTGTCAAGCAGATTCTTATGCAAATGAGAATATCCTGTTTGTTATTTATCCCAGCCAGACTAACTGGGTTGTTGCTACTCATGTAGAACCGCGTTGTTGCGCTTGTCTAGTTCCTAAGGTTGTATCCACCAAGAGCCCGCATCGTGTTTGCTTTGATAGTGCCATAGAATTTTGCCTCGACTGTTTTAGATGGAACATAGCAGATTCTCATTCAACTGCGATCAAAAGACGACTGGAATTTATTTGAAAGCAGTTCATACGAAGGGATAGGTGAATTTTCCTTATGGGATATTTCTCATCACTCCCAGCGACGTTTTTATCTTTTAGATTGATTGTTCAGGAGGTTTATAGCTACCGCCTTTAGATTCCATAGTCATTTCATCCACGGGGAATTTTACATGGAAATTGTTTGTACATTAAGCTTCCGAAATATGCATCAAGGGGCTACTCACCCAATCGAGAACTCCTGTTAGCCGAATTGCCATTGTGCATAGTGCATTTCTTTCAGAGTAACTGAATAATGAATACTCCTGGACCTTTTTCTCAGAGGCAGTTTCTCGGTAACCACTGCTTCTTTTGCAGCGGAGTGAGTGCCCTTTGATTTTTTACTATTTGCTAAGTACGCAGTCCTACAGCGTGATAGGGAGCCATAGGGCATTTTTACTTTCCCGGGTGACGTAAGCTTAAAAAATCGTTCAGCTGTAGCACCCTTCCGGTGCCTAACTGCCATGCCACCCGAAGGTTGCACGAGAGCTGGGATACTGCCAGGTTGTCCAAGCCTAGACAGGGGAAGTCGAGAGGCAGAGGTCGGGTTCGAAACACGATCAGTAAATTCGCGCTCCAACCACTTTGGCCATCTCACCCCCGACATAAGCCTATGTTGACATCATGATGCTGATTCAGTGAACATTGTTACTCCGGACGGTGTTGTTTGCTCGACTTTGTGGATGCCATCGTTCGATTCGTTTACGCTCTGTTGATCGGTCAAGGTCGTAACGTTTTCATAGTCGATAAAACTTCCCGTTATTCTGTCATCTGGCGCGTGCTGCTTTTCAGAAATATGAGGCTGTGCTTTGTTGGCACCGAGTTAGTCGTTTAATCAACATTTACACGGAATAGCATAGCTCCAGGAAAATTACACTGATTCATTTTACACCTGTGTATTTTTCAGGCTCGGGATTGGAAGCAGTGGGGATGATCTATTGTCAGCTCGTGATTCATTCGAGATTGGAGGCATGTCCACTCAATGCTCTTCAATAGTGCGTGCGATTTTGGAATAGGGACATCATCACAACCCATTATGCACGAAGCGTTGACACATTCAACATCTGGGCATACAACTTCTGCTACCACGCGGTTAGAGTTCGGGTACCTGTCTTCATGTGGCCACTTTTCCTAGGATTTCTTTTATGACCTACCGTTTACCAATTTGAATGAGGAACGCAGCTGATTTTATTTCTTTATCTTTTGTTCCATATTTTCTCTTAGGTTTTTAAATTCCCATTAGGATATTTTTGTTGTTAAATTGTCCCCTCTTTTGTATTGGAATATCAGAATTTAGTGAATACGCCTTTGCTTGCATACTTGAACCAACGCGAGTTGGAAAACAAAAGGAGGGATGAAGACTCGATACGACACAGAAAACCATTCAAACAGCACCCGGGTAGTGCACGGAAAAGTTCTAGATGCGTAGACCAAGGCCCACCACCGACCCCACCACCAAGTTCAACTCGTCCTCCACCAACAGGTTCGCGTCGTCCAACCGAGGCCAAACGCGCTTCTGCATCGGTGCAGTCTTCACGAGACCCTGAATACCATGGTAGCGGCGGCTCACGAATCGATGAAGAACTAGTCGGTACCCAAAAGACAAGCAAAGACGGGAAACATCCGGGAAAGCCAGTTATAGATGTGGAGGAGTTTCCTGCAATGCAGGGATCGCGTAGGTTTATTTTGTTTGCTTGTTTTGAGGCTTGTTCCATTGAGCAGTATGCAGCAGCGATAACTGTGTTGTCATTTATGTAACTGGTTATTCTCAAAAGGAGTAGCTATGTGAGAACTTTAGTCTGCTAAAGTGACGTTGTGATTTGACTGAAAGCTAAACCGTGACTCCACTTAGTTGTGATTCACTTCTTGTACCTGTTCCAGAGCAATCCCTATCAAAATATCCCCTGGGATCTTGGTCTGACCGTTCACCCGCTTGGACAGGTAGTCAACCCACTTTGGAAAGGGGCGATACAAAATTGAAATCCAGTTCTAAGGATACGAAACCATCACATGTGGGAACGGACCTGGAATCAGCGAATCGCGAGGCCGCACAAAGCTCAGTACGTTCTGTATCCACCACCTCTATAGACCGATCGGTGAGCGAATCGGATTCCATGACCTTCGTGGAATCAAACACTACATCCGACTTTTCTCCACATCTTCGTGATTCTGGATGTCGGGGGAGGCGATCTACTTATTACGCCGCTCGTTCCCAGTCTGGATTCACCAGTCATTCACGAAAACCTGGGGGAAAGCCCTCTAGAGGACGGCGAGATTCCGAAAGTAGTGGTGGCGTACCTGGCCAGCGTGCTGCCAGCCCGGACCTGGACATCCCCACCGAATATGACCGTGGGGGAGGCCAGTCTTCCCGCGGGCGTCGTGGCGGTGGGAGTCGGTCCAATAACTCTGCGGCTGATTTCGATCCTTATTCGGGCTACACACGGGGTAGTGGCTACCGGTGAGTCAGTAGTTTTTTCTGGCTTTTAAGTTGTTTATTTTTTGGCTTCTTATATTTCCATGTTCTTTGTATGCATTCAGCGAAAACCAACAGAACACTTATAGATGGGTCGTTTTGTGTTGATACTGTGAATGGAGCGCGATTTAAGCTTTCACCTATATGAAGAGGGAATGTGAAAGAAAGATGTCAACACAGCGATAGTAAAAAGTATTCTAGTGGAATAGTATTATTGAGGCTATAGGTAGCTCAGCATTAAGGCGCGAAACTACTGGTCTAAAGGTCTGTTTGTCTAATCCAAACGTGTGGTCTGTGCAATATTTTTCAGAATGAGACCTAGCTCGATTCTCACAGATCGGTCTCTCACTGTCTGTGAAAGATAATACCAGAGTGCACTTTCGATATCACAGCTGCCAAGTTAATATCACCATGGTTTTCACGCGCATTCTCCTATTAATTGTTATCTTCCTTCCCGATTCCCCAAATACCTATTCCTCATTCCATATGAAACTGATGAGTCTCCTCATTTAGGTTACCAGAGCTTCCTCGTATTTGAATAAGACTGAGTACAGAGGGGCCGGACATCTCACTCTCCAGAGTGGGTGTTTCGTCGTCTGCTGGGCCATTAAGGTTGGTATTCTATTCTGCACTGCCTCCAGTGGTCACGTTGCACGAAGCCAACTAAATTGCCTTCCAACATGCTCAGCTCATTTTTCTAATCGGTATTTTTGCGAATGAATTACTTATTGCTTCGTCGGTTTTCTTCTCTGGCCGGTCTATCGAATTAGATGATATAGGCCGCGTCTGTTTCCGTGCGTTTTTTCTCACTGTCGGATTTTAGAGGCTCTGTGTGTGGCGCCGTAATGCTTGCTTTCTGGTGTGAATTTTTTAGCACCAATGATGATTACAGATCTCGACACTGTCTAGTGGCCAATTTATTGTGTCCCGTAAGTCAAGCAGACGGTTTTGCATGATGTGACACCGCCACTTTTGCATCTCAACATGATTCACCCACATGCCTATTACAAGTACTATGTAGATTCGCCGCAGCATTCGGTCTAGCTCAGATCGGCAGTGTTGGGGTATGATAGTCTTCCGAAAATGACGTATTAGTATACTTCTCGTCCACCTACGAGTGCCCAAAGTAAAACGAATCGTCAGGTGTGCTCAGAGTATAATGTGATCGGAACCCAGTTGTGTGGCCCGTAAAGAACGGCAGTCTTGAATCCTAGCTCTACGCAGATAGGTCTTAGCCACTTGATCCATTATTAACTTGCACTTGATTACCATCAGGTTATGTAGTGCGACTCGTTATGTTGAAAATTCATGCTCGCGAGAACAGTTGGTAGTCGTGGCACATTTGAAGGAGTCGCTCCACCTTGTCTGCATTAAGTATCGACTCCTAGTCGACCATCCAGGTAGGATTTCACATGGCTCAGAAGACCTAATTGAACATCACTCGCAAGGATGATACTATCAACTCCTCTTTCCTGGTTAATCAGTCTGGATAATTCTCGGTAAAACATCTTGTATCAGAACTGCATCCTATCTTGAAGTAAGCTGACGACACCCACTGGTTTCGATGTCGAGTTTCGCTTGATTGGATTGGGTAACCATTCGCTTGAATCGTTCACCTCTAGGTCTGAGCGCGAATTCTACGCCGTATATTCCATAAGCGATGACCTCAGGATCTCCAGATGCCTGGAGAGTAGAATGCGGGAAAGCTGAGTTCTTTCAAGATGATTTAAGGCGTATGACCAAACTTGGTTCCTGTGAGTGTGTTTCGGACGCACAGTATTCGTAAACTGTGAGTGCATATAAGTTTCGAGCAAGCAATACCTGTTTACCTGTTTGACATTGAGTACGAACGATGGAAGCTCCAGTGTGTAAAGGATCTCGTGAATTCATTGAAGTGTTATGTTTGATCTTAATGGCCGTCGAGTTGGATAGGTTGCGTGGGTTAGTTAGTTGACGAATGATCGGACGATGTTTGCCTGGAAGTTGGGAAGAAATCGAGGAGAGACATCAGTGAATGAAGAACTATGAGGGTAAGTGATGTCTCCCGGTTTCCCAGGCCAAGGACGGAGTTTAGTTGCAACACCTCACCGTGCGCTCTTGACTCAAATCTGACTCACAAAGTAGTAAAAAGAAGAAGGATTCTGTTTGAGGGTTTTTCTTCTGACCTTCAGCTCAAAAGCCGATCAGTGGGACAGCGATTTACCGGTTGGTACTGCCCACAGCCGGTGACTCATTAATCGGACCCACTTTGCCTGACCCTAGTCACGGGGTCACAAGGCATAGTTGACTCACTGTTGTTGCTATTGCGCGTAGCAGATGCGTTTGAATACAAATGGGGCTTGTGGTTGGTATTGCCCGTATTTCGGACCTAGTGTATAATTTGCCGGCGATCATGGTCAGCATTGGGCGATCGGGGTTTGCGGGTTTTGGGACCGACATCTTTCCAGCTCGTCCTCCCTCAGGGCAATGCAACATTGGTCCTTCTACGAATACGAATGCTAATCGCCTGGAGGAAACACCTTACTGTCTTCAAACTAATTACAGACGATAGTATGATTACTCGTAATATGCATACTTTTAGCGCAAAACTCATTGCCCTTAGCTTGATTGTTCCCGTTTTGCTTTCGCAACATTCTTGTTCTTTGTCGAACGAGGCTTCAGCAAGCGTAGCCTACGAGATCATAGCAGTACTCAGACCCGACTCCCATGTGCAGATGGTAACATTTCGTCGGAGTCTTTCCATCACACGTATTATCCAGTAGTTTTTATTTGGAACCAGTTGCTACACGTCTTCTTTACAGTCCTCAGTTGTCTTCCATGTTTTTTGTTCACCGTATGTCGCTTATTATGCTAAAACTGTCATAAGGTTGTTGGTAGAGGTTCTTCTGCTGGAAACTAGGCTGTTCACTGCTCACCTGCTTTTTTCCGTGCACATGCTGTTTATGTATTTCAAACCTTGATTTGTGTTCTGTCACCTGCGTAATTATGCTTTATTTCTTCCCACGACAGAGGCAGTCATCAGACTTTTCGGAATACCGGTTCGAGCCGCAGCTCTGACTATAACGAGTGTTCCTATGGACCGGGTACCCATTCAGAGCATGGAAGTTCACATTCTCGCAGGAGTGGGAGTTCCAATCCCTCAACAACATCCCGAGCTCGGGGTGGTGGGTCTCGTTGGCAGTCTGGACACCCTCATAAGGGCAGCGGTTGGACACACAATTGATTCTTTTACAATCAAAATCCTGTTATGCTTCAGTTTAATGTTCCTAAATTTTTCCAACTTCATCCTTGTACTCCACTCGGTTGCAATACGAATTCGTGATTTCAAAGTAGTTTTCTCACTCGACGGGTTTTTCGGTTCTCAGAAACGAGCACCTCTCTGTCTCTCTCTTTACCCATCTTGGCCAACTTCGGTTGGTCTGTACAGCGGTGGCCAACGAAACACGTATAAAAAGTAAACGACAACTAATACTTGGTTGGTCTCTGCGAGAGATCCGTTAAGCTGAATAATCCCAAGTTTATCCGATCTTTCTTGCTCTAGCCAGACAGGTGAGAATGTCTCACCAGACTAGGCTGGCAGTAAATCCTCATGCGTCCAAGTTCGAATTTTTTCAAGGAAATCGTTAGAGCTTCGTCCTCTGCAGGAAACCTGGTCACTTGAGTCTGTAACATTCCAATTTTGTTACTCGCTCAAATTTGGCTTCCACCAGCTAACTGAGGTTCTTTGTAAACAACTATAATGCTGCGCATGTAGCTTTGGTGGTTAGAACGCACAGCGACCAGTTCATGCCGTTGACTCCGGATACTGCGGGCGAAGATACATACTACTCTTGAATTATAAGTAGACTTACGACATGTTCATTGGATATATTTTGATGACTGCATTATTAATAATCTTTTCAGTTAGTTTTTGATGTAACTTTAGCTCCTTCTCAAATACACGGGTTGTGGTGAGGTTTTCTTTAGTATGTGCAAATGAGTGTTTTTGTTGGTGGTGCCTTTGTTTACTGAGGCACCCAATTGGACGTCGCCGGGGCATGCCTTAAACTAATGAGTAAGGAAAATAGCAGATCGGCTTGAAACCCGATCCCTAGCTTTGTACTAGGACCTATTTTTGTGGGGTTCAGGCTGTCCCCGCGTGGCCTCTACTTCAGGGCTGCCGGGCGCTAGCGGCTTGCCCTATTATTGCCAACAAATTCTTCACTGTTCACTTGGGTCCACGTTGATAGGAAACGTTTGGGCATCTGCGCTCCGGGCTCGACTTTGAGTGACACCCTTTTAGGGTTGCGGTGACATTTGACAGCTCACTACCGGCTTCGACCTCGGGTTTCATCGGGTTGGTGTAATCCTCCGCGTTTCGATCAGCTTTTGTTCCACTTGGTCGCCAAATTGTACGCATTTGGGAAATGTACTCAAATCAAGTCGGTAGTGACGAAGGATTCAGCTGGATTCCGACTGTACGATATACTTCAACTTGAATGAATGGAGGCATTAAATCGAAGCTTATTATATGTGGAGGATTCAGCCCCAATTCGGTTGAGTCTTCCGTTAACATCAACTTAATTTAAATAAAGGTGTGTTTCGATAAGCTGCGTACTCAGTTTGTACTCAGTTTTCACTCTGGGACTCGTCTGATAGAGCAGTCACTCGCAAATGTGAAGTCAGGTTACAGGGGAGAGGGAAAACTGATCTTGCATCAAGGATCAAGCGTTCTGGACGATTGACTGGTGGGCTCGGGGGCCAACTGATCAAACACTGGGCACTGTGCACCAATTGTTTGCCTCTATGAACGGGTCTGTCACAGGATCAGGGGTGGATAAGCTCTATCCCGAATGTAAAAGTGTGTACGCAGTGAGCTGGCATCTGTTTCCGGGCTTACCTGTGATGTCAAACCAAACCATCACCACCATCGAATAGGTACAACCACAGGCATTTTACGCCGAGTAGCGTATGGATCCCTGTGGATGATCTTTTATCTGTTGTAACCTGAGGTTATAAACCCCCAAGGCTCACTAACATGCTCTTTTGTCGACGGATGGGTGGTAGGTTTCAGATAGCTCCTGCAAACACGGGCACCGCAAATCCATGTGATTTAGTTACCAGGTCCTACAACTCAGAGGAAACCTTGAGTCCTTGCGCACTCTGACTGCTGTGGTCGATAAATTGGCTACCGCCAGCTCGAATGACCTGTTCGTGTTTCATTTTCCTAGTGCAGCAGATAAATTCCAGTAGTTCTCATTTTCGGTTCACGGAGCGCCTTTTCCTGACCATCAGGAACCCGTTTTTTTTATTCCGACTTGCATGTGCAACAGTTAACCCAGGGCTTTATTGTATTCCATTCGATAGAGAACACGCTCACTTACATACACGCGGACATCAGGGCACATACTCACGTGACAAGCAAAGAAACCACATTTCTCTCTACTGGTCCACGTTTCATTCTGCAGTGAGTGAAAACTAAGGATGAGGAAACAAATATTCTTCAAGTGGTGGTGGTGAACATCAAGAATTCGGCTAACTTTTTGTTGAAAGGATTTTACTGTCCATCAGATTTCTCATAAGTCAGCCGCCGATCTGAGTTTTGACGAAGCGCTTTATAACAGGTGTGATCAGCTCCCGAAAAGCTCAACCTCAATAGGCTTTCTGATTCATGATGACGGTTCCGGTGTGGTCGAGACACTCGGGATGTTTTTATGTCTCCAATAAAACCTAAGAGGTATTGAGTGCCTGGGATCATCTTGTATGTAATGTAGGACAATTCACCTTGATTTTCCATGTTACTCGTTCTTCTCTGTGACGTAATTCCGGTTTGTTTTCACTAAATTCAAAGGATAATTCCCTTAGCATGTTTCGTCAAAGGAATTAGTTTCCATCCCACAGAGGAGTGTCACACAAGTACGGCTCAGTTTGTGTCCCTCCCCTAATAAAAGGAGAGCGCGGGTTGAACTGGTCCTGAGGATGTTCACTTTTCTGAGAAAGCACTATGTTTGTTGAGTTCCCAATAACCATTTTTAGTGTCCGCTAAACTTCCTCGTTTTATGGATGGTATCAGAGTTAGTTTCACTATGAGGAAACTCCTCGTTCGTTAAGACTTATTTTGCAAAAGCTCTCTGCCCTCACTAGTATGCATATAATTGGCTAACATTCTTTACGGACTTGCCTGCCAATATTGGGTGGGATACTGGGTGCTGGTGCGTAATGTAAGCGGTCTGCGCGGAGTATTCGCAAGCCCTGTCACTTCCATTCCTGAGAAGAGGTATTTTCCACCACAAGCTGTTTGAAATATGTGGACAAAACCGGTTTCATTGGCATTAGCTTGAAGTACATCTCGATAATTCCCGAAGGTGTTTCGTCGAAAGGCGGATAACTGCATTTCACCAGCAACCTCTTGACAACGAACGCATGCTTGATTTCACTTGTCATAATCAGAGTCCAGTAATGCGCAGTGCGTTCTACGTGGTGACCTGTCAGTCCTACTGGAGCTCGACCGTAGACTTGCGAGTGGTGTTGATCCGCAATCTTTAGGTAAAATATTTTGAGATAATGATGTCGTGATTTGCATATGAGACATTTCATAAACTAGTATGCTGTTCGGGTCTTACAGGTTGTTTCTTGTCAACCCTTGATTCAGTTCGGGATATTTTGTGCGGATAAGAAACAACGGTCAATTGTCCTCTTATCATAGCACTTCCGTGTCTCTAGAATCATTTAGCGACAAATGAGCTGAACAATTTTAGCCACAACAGGCCACGTTAAATCGTCACATTAAAATGAGGAGGCATGTCGTCGCCTTTGGACCCGTTTCTTCTCTATCCATTACCGCAGGATCGGTGAAGCATTTGGCCGCAGTTGGTTGAAATAGATCATTAAGGAACGCGAAGACCCACGAGTTGTCGCAGTGTACTCAGATCTGTAGTGAGTACGAAGCAGCTATTCATTGAAACACCAAACCAGTAGCGCTACATTACAGTTGAAATATTCAGGCAAAGCCATAGGCATTGTTGGAATATCCCAGCATCTGTCACTAAAATTCTGGTGGGTTTTGCAACTTTTTCACAGAGGTAGTGCAATAAGTACAGAATACGGGAAACATCCTTGGAATGCCAAAAAGTTGCATCACTTGGTTTACTTGGTTGACATGCACAAATTTATTCAAGCAGGCATACACATGCGAAGTAAATTACTGCAGGCCGCGTTCGCCCCGAAAGATGGTGTTGCCACTAATCGCATGTGGTATGTGAACACACCGGGATGCTGGTACTGTGGGGGTGATTTGGGAATTTTGGTGATTTCGTCCTGTGGGTGAGGTCAGTCTATGCTGAAAAGCCGAGAAACACTGAGCAGCCGTTTCGTTCTTACTGGGAATCATCAGAAGTGTGCATCTCACGAAATTCCAGAGAGTGCCAACCCCGTGACCTGAGGCTAATAGTTTGAACATTTATTCGTTCAGCTGCCAGTGGCTGATCAGTTGTGTGGGTTTTATGCCTACAATCTTTGTTGGACGGTGAAAAGCGCAAGAGCTACTTTGCCTTCCTTAAATTGTTGACACACAGGCATACGTTGTTTTTTCTAAGTCCGGTGGGAAAGGCTGTCGTGCAAGTACAAAAACAGAAAATCGACGGGAGTTGGCCATATTTTATGGAGTAACTGTTTCTCCCTTTGAAGGCAGTTCGCCGTTCTCCAACATAAGTCACCCTCTGTGCTGGAATTCATAAGCACCACCCAGTCATGCTAGATTCACTTGCACTTCAATCAAACGTAACCGTCAACCCAAAAAGGAAATAACAAATATTTCTTCATCTCAACTGTCCAGATGGCATAGGTGTTTTTGCAAACGCTTGGAGTCCCGATTTACACATCTAACCATCCAAAACCGACTGACGTATTAAAGCCAACCGCTTACTGAGAGAGTGCCAGACACCAAAGATAGATTGACTTATTGTTTACATTCACATGACTCTCGTTTGAACAGATGTCCTCTTGTCCTGGCGCAATTATTCTGGTGAATCCACACCAAAGGGGGGCAGCTCTGGACTCGATACGACGACCCAGTAACTGTCCTGTTTGTGACGATCGATTGGCCCGCTTGTCAGGACTTCCCAGCCAGGTAGCACCACAGACGCATGAAACCCGGTGGACATCTTTTGTTGATGCATGTTGTGGGATTTGCGGGATGTGTGCTGTTCACATTCACATCACTCTCGTTTGAACAGTCGTCCGTTTGAACGTGGGAATTCAGACGCGTCCAACGTCCGCTGATGAGCTCTAGTAAGAGCGAAACTCGGGTCCAGACCTTCCATTCCTTTGGTGTGGATTCACCATAATAATTGCGCCAGGACAGGAGGACGTCTGTTCGAACGAAAATGATGTTCTAGTAAGAAACTCGGGTCCAGACCTTCCATTCCTTTGGTGTGGATTCACCATAATAATTGCGCCAGGACAGGAGGACGTCTGTTCGAACGAAAATGATGTGAATGTGAACAATACGCATCCCGCAAACCCAACGAGATGGATTTATCACAAACTTCTTCCGAAGTCTCTTCCAATCGCTCCACTGTCTGTATTTTAGTAAGAACGCCATATTTTGGCACAGCGCCGGGAGTTTTGCCTTTTACACCACCTCGCCGGGTGTGCTCAAGCATTAACTATCAGACAGAACAGTAGCGCTGCTTAAGTCTTGAATCAATGTTCCCGCCGGTCTTGAGCATATTGATGTGAACAACATCCCGCAAACCCAACGAGATGGATTTATCACAAACTTCTTCCGAAGTCTCTTCCAATCGCTCCACTGTCTGTATTTTAGTAAGAACGCCATATTTTGGCACAGCGCCGGGAGTTTTGCCTTTTACACCACCTCGCCGGGTGTGCTCAAGCATTAACTATCAGACAGAACAGTAGCGCTGCTTAAGTCTTGAATCAATGTTCCCGCCGGTCTTGAGCATATTGGAACCTAACGAATTATCAGACATCAGGCGAGTAGACCGTGAAGACTGATGGACTCATAAGGCTAAGAAAACAAAAGAGGCACAGAAAGCCGGGAATCCTAAAAGACTATGTCACTGGATCCGTGCGACCAGTCCACAAAAGCCACCTACGAGTGAAACCATGAAGGGTCAAATCGACCTGGCTATTTTCAATAAAGAGGGTTGCTTCGACGGCTGAGTTGAACACTGTGGACAGCAATTCTCGTGACCACCTGCCACTACTCACCTGGATCATCTAACTGCATTGGGACTTTTGACGATGTACCTGGAGTACCCTATGACCTCGAATCTTTATAACATCACATGCTCTCACAGGTGGTACTAAACTCCTGGTCCAGTTGACCTTCCGCATGCATTGTTCAAAGACGGGGAAGAAGTTCTCAATCGGTATTTAACTGATCTGTCTGCTTGCATATGGAAAAATGAAATCGCTCCAGACAAACGCAGTGACCGGTTATGGTACCCATTTTTTAAATCGAGGCTTGTAGTGAGTGCGGGAATCACAAAGGGATCGGCTTGATCCCAGTCTTAAGGAATCATTGATATCGCCTGCGAATCCTCGCCTTGTAGGTCAGATAGGGCACCTCAGGCAATCCCTTCTCCGGTTGTTCAATCGTATCACGTCCTTTCAACCCTTCGCTCACCGGCCTTACGCTACACCTAACCCCCACCCGTCGAACAATTCAGCGCCATCAACCCATCTACCAATGCCCTAATCACTTTTACGTGTCTAAACTGTCACTTAGAAGAATAAACCATAATATCCACTTACTAACCTCAAAAGATCTGATCCACATTGCAGCCTTTAATGCCCGTACTGAGTCAAAATGGGCAACAGACAGCTCTTGCAACGCAATTTGACTTCGACCATACAATTGTGCAGGCCCGGCTGTCACTTCGCTTTCCATTAATAGCATGCGTGCAAAAGCAGGGCAATTCTACTCATTAAACTTCGACAAGTTTCAGTAGCTGAAGAGCATGGAGCTGATCTGGTTACAAAGTTACTGAAAATACAGTCATGCGGATGACGAAAATTGCTTGGAGGTTAATTGGTAATAGAGGCCAAAAAGGTTATACTAGCAAACATAAACTGTGATGGTTCATGCAGATCCTTAAAATACCAAATAATCGGGAACTTGGAGAATGACCGAGAACGTTGGTGGATTTGGAAAGCCCTGCACGCTTCAAAAAATGTGGCGGGGTCCTGATGAACAGTCTGAAAACCATAATGCAGAAGACTTGGAACGAAAACAGGATACCGGTTTAATGGGGCTCCTGGAACGTCATCCCTGTCTACGGAGATGGCGTAAGAACGTTATTCAGAAACCATCATGGCATCAGCCTGATGTCCGTCGCATCTAAAGTGCTCTCTGACATTATTTCGCGCAGGTTGATCGATCATCGAGAGAGACAGATTCGTGAGAACAAAGCTGAGCTTCGTCCTGGCCAAGGACGCATCGACCATATTTTTACTTTGGGACAAGTTGTTGAAAAGCACTACTCCTTCAAACGTCGAATACTTGTTGTTTTTCTCGACCTGAAATCTGCTTTTGACTCTATCGATCTTCAGAAACTTTGGCGGCGTCTGGCGAACAAAGGTGTCCCTTCCAAATAAATTATATATCATTATGAGGACTCTGTATGAAAAGTCCTGTGGGTGCGAATGAATGTACGATAAGCTTTCGCCTGAAGTCATCATGTCCAGTGATGTAAGACGAGGCTACTCTCTCGCACATTTCCTCCTCAGCTTTGTTAGTGATGCGCTGCATGAAATTTCTCTGCTTGCCTCCGAAACCTCCAAAATGCTCCCGGGACGATCGCTCTTAGACATTGAATATGCAGACGATATTGCTGTCCTTGGTTCAGATCCTCCAAAAATACAAACCATTTTAAATAACCTACATAACCCTGCCACACGGTTTGGCGTGCGCTTCACACCTGCAAAGTGCTGCATGGGACCAAACCCAAACTTCATGCTTGCATACGTGCATTCGACGCCGTAGACAAATTTGCTTACTAGGGCACTTGTATGAGTTCCGGTGGTTTGGCTGGAGATGAGATTACTTCTCAAGTCGGGAAAGCCATGGCAGCTTTCTTCAAACTTCGACACCTATGGCGCTGACGTGAAGTCAGTTTGTCTCTCAATCGTGGAGTTTACACCGAGGCGGTGCGATCCATACTTCATTATGTATCAGGGACGTAACCTCCACGCGCAGAGGATATAAGAAAGATGTCAGTGTTTGGCCTTCGGCGTCTCCAAAGCATTGGCAGAAACATTGGATTAGTAATTTTAAGGTACGCCAGATGGCTTCAGGAAGAAGGTATTATTCACACTGCATAGGTTACGCTGTTTAGGGTATGTAGTCCGCGTGCCAGAAGACCGCCTGCCTTGCAGAGTTATTATCGCCCGGCCCTGCGTTGAGTGGAAACGACCGGGAGGTGGACACTATGTGACCTGGCAACGAAGCATGAAAACCCTAACCAGTAAAATGAATCTGATCGACAACTGTCGCCCCTCTGGATTGATAACTCGAGTATCAACTCATCAGTGGTTAATGACACTGGCAAAAATGGCCCAATCGCACAGTTGGTGGCACTCATGCATCAAAACTATCACTATCAATAGTATCATCAATAGTGTACACCGTTACAGCAGTAGTGTGTTGACTAGTCGTTGTTGTAGGGCTGTTTTCCAGCTTAATGACTGTAGCAGTCAATCACGCACAGTAACAGAGGAAACTTGCGTAAACTGCTGTTATTTCGCACAACAAATATTCAAATCGTATTTGTTAAAAGACTTTACGGGTTACGACTGTGGGATCACCATTCAGGACACCTGAGCAAGATATCTTCCAATAGCAGCTTAAATCAGTTCTGGGTGACAATGTGGTTAGTGTCCTTCGGTAAGCGTTAAAACAGATGGGCTTGGAAAAACACGTACATTTGTTGACTTATTCGGACAACCGATTCATTTTGTTGAGCAACCAAGACACTATATTTGGGTAGTCATCGGACTGAATCATGTGCTTGGGGCTTTGGTCGTCGCTTACTATGAAGGTGTGGACAAACTTTGAAGGACAGCCTTCTTTTTCGTCAGGTAGGCGCAGGGGGATCGACCGCAGGACAAATCTGCACTGCTGATGAATTCGATTTCGAGGAGATAGTTGTTTCAACTGGCTGCTTGCTTACCCGGGTAATGTACTGATTACTAAGGTCCAATCAGGAGGCTTTATAGGGATAGCTATTGAAAGATTTGACAGCCAGTGGTTGGCTGAGGCGTACTGGTACCAGAAACAGCCTTGAATTGTTAACCAGAGGGTTGTGGGTCCTATCCCTCTGTGCTCACCCAACGAGTCCCAGTAAGAATGGAAGCTGGGCCCCTTGGTATCCGGTCAACTATGAAAATATTTTTTTAGTTTCTTTGAAACAGTAAGATGTCTGGCGTTGAGAGTTTAATTTTGATGCATATGGTGGAGAATAATTCATATACGAAACACATCTGGATAAGAGATATCCGGGTAAAGTGGTTGAACACGTCATTCACTATAGATTAATTCAGAGGTCCCTGTGTTTAGGATCCGTGCGAATTCATCATTACTTATTGCCTTTATCAAGCTCCGCGAGCTTCCTGATTCTTCCACAGTGTTACCGCGTAAACACGGCCAATGTGGTTGTGTACCACGAACATAGAACAAGTCCTTTGGGGAAGTGAATACAGGCAAAGTCACAACAGAGTGGTTATCAAATGTTTATTCATTTACCACACGTTTGGCAAAAGCATAGGGCGTGGTGTATGTGAGCAGTGAGAGCTGTCGTGGTGGTAATGTTGCCCTAACAGTCATAGGGAGTATACAGCAAAAGTAATCTTTAACTAGTGTTGCTGACCGAACCAAGGCAAGCTATTTTGCATTCACCGAGGCTGAATAGTTGCTGTGTGCTTCAGACAGCGATGGATTTGATGTTCTACAATAGACGACCAACGGAGATCGACGTCTGTATCGGTGAGTGAGGAGGACGAATGCACCGTGTTGCACCTGAATCTGACGTAATTTGTCGACAGAAGAGTCTGAAAAAAAGCGCGGAAATGCAGTTTGGTCTTAAAGTGTGAGTTTGTTCCTGCTCAATCCACATGGAACTCGCATTCTAGAGACAGTGCTTGGTAAGATCAGAAGATAGCGACGCTGCTCGTGTACCGCCGAGCCTATACATCCAGCAATCGGGCCATGGTTATCCGAACAGAAAAACCCATCTAAATCGAGAGAAAAATGAAGTACACACGGCGCTGACGCTAACGCTTCATTCATGAAGCCTATCACGAATGTCGCAATTAATGTCTGCATGTCATGCAGTACGATAGCATGACCCTCTATGGCAAAAAACAGAAGCGGGAAAATAACAGGCTGGTAAGGAGGTTCAGCTTCTTCATTAACTGGAAGGCTTATTCTAACACCTTTCGTCATCGCGTAATTGTCCTACAGTGGTTAGGGATGTTACAGTTTTTTGTCCTCCGATGATTTGGGGAGGTAGGGGTAGAGGGCTACGAATTAGAAGCCGGAGCTTAGCTAATTAGTACATGAATACAGCGGCGTTATTGGAGCTGAAAGTGGACAGATCACGGAGAAGCTATGCACTGGAGGCAACAGCTTGGATTCTTTCGCGCCATTTAGTGCATAACTGGGCCCTATCTGATAATGTCACTAACCATTGGTGTTTTCTGTCTATGAATCCCTATCACGAGAGGCTGCAATGACTAACGCAGCTGAGTTTTCTGGTAATAGCTTCCAAACTTCACTGTTAAGTCATTCTAACTCCCTCAGCAGTCCATCGATCGCATTTCTATTCATACATATCGTTGGCATTGGAAAAAACTGACACACATTTTTGGGGGATACTCGAGTATACCGGGGTAAGGACTGTCTTAGTGTTGAAATGGGAATTAAAGCCTAAGTAAACAGATGTTCCACAAAATTCCTGAGAAGGTTAGATATTCCTGATTACAACAAAACATCATGATATCCACTATGGACAAACCCGAAACAAAATGTATAAATGACGAAGCTTTGTGGAGTGCATTCAAAGAAGGCGAAAAGCTTCGAGGTGGCGATGAGAACTTTCCCGTTTTCAAGACCAGATAAATCGCTCTGACCTCAGTATGAACAAATAGATGCTCAATTACTGCATTGATGCAGAACTGTGGGAAGAGATAAAACGGTGAACAAGAGCAGTGTGATGCGGTTTCTGCTCACTCAGGGAGGTCGATTGTCATGAATGTAACGAGAATGTAACGAAAAGGTGGGGCCAAATAAGAAGTGACAAAAACGAAAGATACAAAGAATAAATTAAATCTCAAACAGTTTTACTTCTTCAACCCGCTGGGAACAGCAAGTGAGTTGGACCGTTTACTGATGGGCGCCCCATTGATGTGGAATGAAGCGATGACCACCACAAATCCACTAGATTACTACAAAAAGCCAAGGCGTGGGTCGCCACACAAGTTCTACATTCAAACCAGGAGAGTTTAATTTCTCAGCGATAAGGTTGATCATAAAAACCACTACAGTTTCACTCACAAGTCTGGAGAGAAAATGGAGAGGATAATCAATCACTGGAAAAAAATGCTTGATTAAATCACTGATCGAAGTAATATGAAGTTGTCTGGCTGGAAGCCTATTTTTCCCTCATAATCTTCCATTTGCAAGATTCCCCAGTTCATTTTAGAAAACTGCCCAGCTTTCGCTATTGTTTATAATTCATTTCCATGCTTCAGTTTTCATACATCACCTAATGCTTGATAAATCACTGATCGAAGTAATATGAAGTTGTCTGGCTGGAAGCCTATTTTTCCCTCATAATCTTCCATTTGCAAGATTCCCCAGTTCATTTTAGAAAACTGCCCAGCTTTCGCTATTGTTTATAATTCATTTCCATGCTTCAGTTTTCATACATCACCTAGAGAGGTCATCTGTGGAGGAAAATTATTTTCTATGTCCCAATACAGATTTCGCCTTGTACGTGAAGTCAGTCTACGAAAAAAAGCCGATCGTACCACCCTATCAGAAATTATCAGCGATGCGCACTCTACGAAGCCCAATCGCGTTCTGAACACGCGACCCCCAAGGTTAGCAGCGGAACACTTATGGGTTCGGCCACGAGCGGCTGATCGGCATTGTGATTAACTTTTGTGAAAAATTATATTTCACATTAAAAAATGTAATAAATCTGCGCTGTCATCAGTAGGATGTAGTAGGATACCTGTATAGCAGAATAACGGTCGCCTGTGATAAACCACACACACACACATTTCACGGTTCAATGGATATTCGAATTTTAAAAGGAACTGATAGAGAAAGGTCTTTCCGTTCATCCCAATGATCGTTTCGACTATCCAAATCACCGACCGGTCGGTGTACATCATCGAAAAAATTCATCATACTTGAAGGTAAGGAGAATTCAGGAGCAAAAATGGGCTGCGTGTGTTGAGGGTGGCCAAAGCCTCATTGAATAGGTAACGCTTCAGGACAGTATAGCCTTGTTCTCCCCTGCGACTGCCTTCAGGTAGCTGTGAGGATGCGCTACTACGAGTAAACGATCTGAACAGATCAGGCAGAAACGCTAGAGGAGTTTACACTGGCATCTACCCATGAGTGGGCAAACTTAAAAAATCGCGAAGAGGAAATCGTGGGTTTCAAAATACGACGACACCATGAGCTACGTTAAGAGAAAAGACGCTCTGACTGTATATGAGCATGAATAAACACTTACATTATCATAGCATCGATTCATGCATCACAATAGCGACCGGTTGTTCACTTCTGATTTCGCTTACTGAACCCAACGGTTTGTCTGTCGGTTGATTCACTATAAGACTCAGTTCGCTATCCCATTCCAGGAAGGGTGATCTAGAAAGCTCAACAAGTGCTTCCCAATGCTGTGATCTCAGAGCTTCAAGGTTGTCGGTCCACGTAACAGGTTGAATTTGCCATAACCATGAAGTTTCATTGTTTTCGTTGGTTTGGTCTCCTAGTCCACTTACGTGTCTTAATTCAAATTTGTCAGTGGGATCCAGTTCCTGGATGGGTGTCTGTATTTCGCTTGATAAATAATACTCTGGCGTCTGGCCATCAGTCCCGTTACGCGATGAGTGGGCAGGTTTGCGTGTACTCAAACCCGCAATCTGTCTCAAACGCTCTTCCAACGCCGCATCATTCTGCAAGGAATGTGGGAAGATAAGATTGGAATGATAAGTCTTCCACAATTATACTCAGCTCTTTTCTTTACACAAACCAGTTGACAATTCTGTCGGGCTATACCTGACACAGCCGACGTCGTGAAAACTAGCGCAAATTTGTGTAGTCCATCGCGAGGGATATCAAAACGACGAATAAGTCAGTGGCTAAGGACTATCAGATATCAACAGTTTCTATGCTGAATTCCTGCCAGATAGCGCTTTACTCACCGTCAGATATAGCTATAAAGATCTCATCAAATGGACCTGACATGACCAACAGCCGTACTTTTACCTTTTTTCGAGGAGCCTCTTGACGTCTATTACGCTTTGACTGCGAGCACTCCACCACTGTTTGTGACGGTTCTTCTAGATGGGATCAGGTCTATTGGGACCGGGGTCGCAAAAACCGATTATAGACACCATATGATAATATTAAAAATAATCACCAGTAACACTGAATATAATAGACCATTAGGGTAACTTGTGCTCAGCTGTCAAGAGCTGGGATGTCACAATGATTTTCACTGCTGTTTTCGATCATCTCTACATACTATACGCCAGAAAAGCAACTAGACAAAGAACATTTAGCATTCAAGAGCATACTCCTACATGGTCAAGTGTAAGCATTGCATTAATTCCAGTAAAGGAAGAACCTACACGGAGCACAGTTAAATCTGGAAATGATAACGAATTCGGTTAGTATCGAAAACAGAAACGTAAGCCATACCGATTGCGTACGCGTTCATTAGGTTTGATGGCTGACGCAAATGTATCTGTTGACATCCATAACAAAACAACTACATAAAATACGGGACAAAGTCTCCTAAGAGAATCCAGCACACCTGATACCTATTTACAAACAACTAAGATGCAGAGGGTAGAAAAGTGGTGCACTCGTTTTCTTAATTCGAAATAGTACAGTACAATTGACACCTTTACATTGGAGCTGAACGTGTTGGCGCCGGATCCATCTTACTTTGATAGCACTTGGGCCTTGGGTAAGGTATAAATATCGTTCAACATGTTAGAAATACTTCAGTTTAGCTCACCCACCTCAGTGGAAGAAAACAAGCCAAGATATAAAACTTCTGTACTTACTAGAAAGGGTAGCGAAATATTCGAGTACTGGCTGTCCTGCGTTGCGTTGCGCGCAGACTGTTCATCGGTAGCAGTCACTGTTGCTGAGTAGTACGGGTCAAAATAGACATCTGCTAGCTGTAACGGTCCTCGGTTTTCTGTTGTATCTTTGGTGTCTACAGTCGCTGGATCCAAAGGTTCCAACAGTTTTAGCTCCTGTTGAGGCTCATTGGTTGAACTCCATGAATTGAGATCGGCCTGAACCACCAACTTTCCATTTTCAGGAGGCGTAATTATATCCTCTGTATCGAGCATCGATCTGTTCCGAAGGCCACATAGTTCAACTGGTTGACTATCTTCAGTCGAAGCCGTACGTTCCATCTCACTGTTGCGTCCACTAATTACAGTAGTGGGATAGGTGTACCGTTCGTCATCTGAAGGCTCATCCAGATATTCCGGCGAATATGGTTGGATGGATGCAATTCTTGGGATATTCGTGTGACATTTGGTTGCGAAATTTATGCGGAACACGGGCAAAGGACTACAAGTTTCGATAGCGGTGACCAAATCCGGGATAGGTAGTTCGTCAATTTTGCCAATTTGGGTGGCTCTCGAATCGCAGTCATTGAAAAAATTTATGACATGGCCACAAATAACTCTTAGAAAGTTGGGACAAGATTTCACATCATCCACAAACAATGCACGCGTAGCAGGAGGCATCTTCATAACAATGTATACAATCGTGGAGTGAGTTGAAAGGTCAGTAACGCTGTCAACATAAAAGCAAACAAGAAGATTGCCTAAGCAACGTACAGACTTGGAACATAAATATTAAATCCTCCAGTTCCCTCATTAATCGGTAAGTGTTTCGCACCTGAGAGTCTGTACGGTAAAACAGAATCCCGGCAACTTTGGGTGCCGTTCGTGTTACCCTTCAACAACAAAACTGCCATCTTGTCGTGGTGGTTGGACTTCAATGCTGCAATGAAGCGTGGGGGCTATACTGGCCGGGACTCAGTTCCTCAAGGCTCAACCATGCTAGGTAGGCCAAAAGGTACCAGCCCAGCGAGGAAAAGCGAGTCCCCGCACTGCGAAAAATTGTAGTACGACGCAGATTGGAGGTGAATTCGTAAGTGCTGTATGATAGGAGTGTGAAGATAGCCAGGCGTTTGTTTCAGGCGGCCAGTACATCTATATCTGAGGAAGCATCGATACTGCTTTCCTCCGAGGAAGGACAGGTTGAAAAAAATCAGCCCTTACAACCGCACACTCCGGTCACCCAACGGTCGACCATGACCACCGGCGCATAACCCGTTATTGTCAAGATAGGTTCAAAACCAAAGGGTCCGGTGCAGCTAGGAGGCACTCGCTGGGAGCGGCATCATTATGAGTCAGAAAGTTTTACCTAATTCGCTGCGTTCACAGGTTCGACAAGCATTCCACAGTCAAGTGGGTCAGACTATTGAGTCACCAGCTACAGGAAGAGTCCTCCAAGACAACCCCCAACAACTGCTGCTTCGCTGTTTGAACTTTTAAGTCAGAGGCTTAGAGAAGGGTTTCCGAACAAAAACCCGCCTTTAACTACCTTGTGAGGTATCTCAGTCTGGCACCCTTCTTCGGCCTGGGCGATCGAGAATTATCACTCACCCCTACAGCTCACCATTCACTGGCTCTTTACATGTCCTCTTGATTCATTTAGCTACCAATTACCTGACCACTGTTCCGTCTAAGCTTCAGTCAGGGAAAATTTTTTTAGAATAAACCTTAAATTTAAGGGACCTGTTCCACAACAGGGCTTTCAACTTACGTACTGTGTCAAATTGAGCACCACGTAACATCGGTACGAAAACATGAGTATTCAGAACTGATGCTCGGCTGCTGTGCATCATAATTTATTTGAAAGTCTTACTGTGGAGAAAAGAACGAAAGTGGATTGGAAAGCGACTCACAATCATTCCGAGCTGACTACACCTACAGGCACTCATTCAGGCAATATGGATGGAAACTGACGACAAGGATGCCACTCTTATCGATTAGCAGGTACGTCTTGCAGCGCAGGTACAGTAAGGATCACACACAATTCATCTTGTACCAAGTGTCACACCGGCGGTAATCGAATATCCCGTATTCGATTTCATTTCTCTTTACCAGGTGAGACGTTGACAAAAACTCTGCTTGCGCAACTCTGAACTGTGCACGGAGAGAAAAGATCCTTCGGCAAAACTATGATTTGGTATGCGCAATACATGAACAAATCACCAAAGCCTTTGGTGCTGGGTACAGTCCTCAAATGAAGTCCCCGTCACACAACCGAACGACCGCTTTTTAATTGCTTCGTTGAGGGTTGGCCAACATCAGCCTATACGAGCTACCGTTCTGAAAACACGGTTTTTGAGGACTTGAACATGTCTCAGTTCCGCTACTAACAGAGCCCATATCTCAGAGCCATATAACAAAACAGCCCGTCCAGCAGCCTGATACACACACGTCCCTTGAGATTTAGGGATATGGTGCTCTGCCGCCATAGGTGCCTCAAATTGGACAACATGACCTCGGATCCGTATATTGATCACTACTGCCACACAGTCGAGACGTAGACGACTTCCAAAACACGTAAAAGGCTTCGCAACCACAATTGCCTCTCCTTGGATAGTAATTAGCGAGTCCTGTAAATGCATGTCCAGGAGTATGGCCATATACTTTGTGAGTACAAAATGCACGCCAAACTACAGGGTGACTTTGGTCTTTTCGTCCAAAAACACCTTCTGCTTTATGTACACAAACTATCGGGGAATTCCATTTTGGGAGGGCGTAGTAACGAGGTGACAGCAGTGAACTGAAATGCACGCTGCTTGAAAACCCAGTTACACTGAAATTGTGGGTCGTTTATACGTATGGTGCGGCTCTAGAACCTGATTCTTACCGTCCGGATAATGGGGAGCGATTTCTTCAGTTGTTCTGAACATCCTTTGTTTCTGGCCAGCACATTCATAACACTCACACCATGTGACTTGGGGGCCAGTAAGTGCAAGCCGGTCATGAACTCATTTGGGGCATGTGGCAATCGGTTATTGGTGGAGAGCATCAATATAACACTGCCGTTCATTTTGGAGTGCACCACTTGACTCCGATAACGGTATTGTGCAGACAGGTGCACCTGTTCGCCTTCCCTCCAAAACACGTCGGTCGATGCAATGCCATTCAGCTCACCACCTGAAAAGCATCTCTGTAGCTCAACGGTATCGAGTTGAGTTGGCTGAGAAGCCCCCAGAACTCAACAGGAACAACGGCGATGACTATGGAAATGGAAAAGAAGTCATGATCACATCTTTGAAGCTGTCTCCTCAAGGAAGTTCACACACCTAATGAACACTGGACGTCGTCGCAATCAGCAGCTCTGATTTCGAGCGGGAAAACCACACGAGCAGTAAACTGCAGTAATTCAGAGGACAAACGTGGGTACACTAGACAGTAAGAATGGTTTGATGAAACAGCACTCTTCTACATCCTACGGTAAAAAATACGCAAAAAGGTTGCAATTTAACTTGGAAAATCAAGTATGTTGATTGCGAGCAGTCGTCAAGGCCGAATTCGGACGCGTTAAAATTGTGGCTAAGAATAACCCTTCTGCACCGCGACTTCGAAGAATTCAGTAGTACCAGAGACAGATTCGTTGCGCAGAGGAACTTCACACTGGCAATCATCATTTTCAGATGTAAGAACTGGGTACTTGTTGCACAGCGGCTCTAGCTGCCAAAGATTCGTTCCGTCCACCGATAATTTGAAGAGATGCGCATTGGAGGCGGGAGATGATAAACTGGTGCGCAAATGCAGGTCTACAAGTGAACTTTTAAGTGGCGGCATTGGGAATGTAGCTATGCAGTGAAAGCAACAAGCTGGATGAACGAGCGTTATTGAGTGCGCAACTAAGCCGTGTCTGACGATGTACCTAACTATTGATTTGTCCCGTCTCACGGTCCCCGTCCAAGGAGACGGCAATGACCAGTGCAGCTGAGTTTGCCGGTGGTGGGTTCCATACCTGGTTGCAAAGTCAATGTTTGATCTCCCCTGGCTCGTTTCCACCCTTCACGAGGTTATGGAAGAAGAACCCTTCGAGGAAGTCGTCGACCGGCATACGGAGCACGTGGCCAAGTCAGGGCAACCTATGCAGTGTGATCAGTTCATTTATCGTGAGTGCGTTATTTCTTCCGAATACCATTCGACGTACACCTTTGTTCCCACCAGACTCGGGCAATGCTCCCGAGACACTGAAAGCTATTTTGACGTCCTCGGCGCGCAGATGCCAGCTTCCTGGCCCGTATGATAATATGGAGCGCACCACAACTCTGTGGATTCGACCCTTGACGTATGAGCTTATGTTACGCCTACGCCTCAGGCGATGGAGGTTCACAAAAGCTACTCTGGCCTCCTCAATCCGAATGAGAACGTCATCCTTCGCGAGACCACTTGGACTGGTACAGCTACCCAGGTGAACAACTTCCTCTACTACCTCGATCGACTCATCCGCAAGTATGAGTTTAGGGTTCAGGCCCATCCAGTCTTGCAGCAACACTTTAAACTTTGAAGGCGTGAAACGAATTCGAAACTGTGAGGTAGAGTTTTTTTTAGGTTATTTGATATTGCTTGCAATACAATGGCTTCAGATTCAAGAAGAGCTATGTCATCTGCATACTCGATATCTGTGAATGAATGACTCGGGGTCACTTCGGCCCCACAGGCAAATGAGGCTGGTAGTGAGTCTTCCATAGTCGCATCAGTCACGAAGTTGAAGAGGAAAGGTGAAAGGGGACAGCCTTGTCTGACATCACTGGACGTGGTGAACTCAGACGAGAGCCTTTCGTAGACCTTCACACGTCCGTGGAAGTTGGCGTACAGCGCCTTAAAGAGGGCCAAGAATTTGTCGGGGAAACCTTTGCTCCATAGACACTTCTATAGTGCCTGACTGTCCACTGAGTCAAAGGCAACTTTCAAGTCAGGGAAGAGAACCACTGTTTGCCGCTGCCAGCAATGTCAAGGTTCCACCATAAAGGGTGAGACTGTCGTGAGAATGCATCGTGTTGCAGAGCGGAAGCAGCTTGGTTTTCACGGACCTGTCTCTCCCTGTGTTCAGGCAACCTTCCAAGGATGAGACCAGAGAGCACCTTCGACGACGCAACTACCAGGCTGATGCCACGGTGGTTTTCACAGCGTCCGCTTACCCTTTTTGAAGGTAGGAGTAAATATCGACATGCTCCCTTGTGTAGGCACTTTTTCTCCACCCTATATCGCACAAATGAGCTTTGTTGGATGAGTCATCAAGGAGTCTCCGCTTTCTCTTGAGAGGCCCGGTATCTTTACACGTTTTGGTATGGATATTTCGTGCCTTATTTCTTTATTTTGCTCGTATGCATCATCTTCAAAAGCCATGGTGCTAAATTGCGCTCCAAACTGTTCGGCCCATCTTTCCAGTCGACGTTTTTGCGAGTGAATGAATCAAAGCCTTTTTCACTTATCGTTTTACTGACCGCTGCTCTCCTGTCAATCGCGTCAGCTAGTAAAGTGCACGGCTGTTTCCTGGAGCCAAAGACTCCTTCATCTACTGAGCTTTCGATGCTCACCAGAGCTCTTGGTCTCCCCTTAGGCTGTTCAGTCTTTGGTGTTTAAGGGATTTGCTCCCGTCATCGTACTAATTGCCTCCTGGGATGGATTTTCTTGCATCAGTCATGGATCTGGACAACATTCAGTGATCTTACGGTCGATTGGGCAGACAGACAGAACTGAACCCAGCTAACTCGGCCCCCTCCATATTTTACCGCGTTTTATCTACACGCTCACTTCTAGGACACTATTGGTTTATCGCGGAGAGTTGTTGGGCTAGGTCATTTCGATACTGTTGAGCTATGGTAGTTTTTCGAACATAGTTGACTGGCATGCTGCTTGCTGACTTTCAAGGGCCTGATGAAAGACGAACTTTCAGGCGTGCACGATGCATGGCTTGATCGGGATCAAGTTGTGTGCCCCATAAGAAAAGACATTCCTGAATTGTAGCTCTCCACCGGTGGCTGATGGCCACATGATCCAATTAAGTCCACGGCTGGTTTGCGGTTGGTAGCCGCCAGATTACGCGATGTAAACGGTTATGCTGAAAGTTCCTACTTGTTAAAAATAATTGATGATCAGCACAAAACTGGAGGAGTTGCTCTCCTATGTCTGTGCTACGAGGATCGAACGACCTAATGTGATTTCAAGGAACTCACATGACAGATTTGGACATTTATATCACCCGCTAGTAGCACAGTGTCAGAGCCCTTTGCTTAACGAATGAGCCTAGATAGCTCTCGATAGAAAGCACCCTTCTCGCCGTCAGAACTGCAGTCCGTTGGGGGAATAAATCAATACTGCGAACAGGCACTGCTTTCCATGCTGAGAGGCGTTGAGCTTGACTGATTTGGATAACTGGACGGCGCCTAGACGTTGTTCACTGGGATCCAATCCACCAAAGCGCGCTCAGCTCTGGCGCTGAGTGCAATTCCCACACCATATATTCCACAAGTCATCAATTCTGGATCACCGGACACACAAAGGGAGAAAGGTGAAAGACCTGAGTTCGTCCTTGGCGTTTTGAGATGCGTAACCAGGCTTGGTTCTTGTATGGATTTTTCGAGGACACAAAATACATCAACTTTAAGGGAGTACAAGGTTTCGGCTAGAGTACGGACGTTAAAAGCTCCTATATAGAAAGGATCTTATGAATTTAGAAAGGTTATTTTGTTTGTTGCTAATAGGCAGCGGGAGGGGGCATATGGCATTTCGGTCAGATAACCGACAGTCAAATGATTCAGCGACGTTTGCTTATATGGTAGGAAGGGGGCATCGGTGGACACAGAATTGTGAGGGCAAATGATACTTACCGGTTACTCAGGTCGAGGAAGAGGGATTGGTTGAGGTATCCCATCTTAAGCCTTTGACTCAAAAGTGACCCACAAGGCAATGGGAGGATGCAGGGCTGTGGTTGGGGACCCTGCCCGGAGCAAACGGCTCAACAGTCTGACCTGCTCGCTTGCAGGGGGTTGACCTAAACCGAGGACGCAGGGAGTAGGGCATTACTGTTTCACCACTGATGTGACGACGCACAGCAGGTAAATTTTGAACAGCACCGGGCTCCTTGGTCCTAAAAGTATTTCGGCCGTGCTGAACAATGTGCCGTCGGTCACAGTAAACTGCTGGGAGATCGGAATGTGCGATTTTTAGGGCCAACTTTTTCTAACTCGTCCTTCCTCGGTGAAAGGGAGCATCACTGCTTCCATGAATATGGACGTGCTGGTTGTCGTGGAAAACGCCTTGTTGTCTTCACACTCCTGTCGCAGAGGGCAGTAACATTTTTCGCACAGATCACCTCGTAGCCCGATTACTCGTAGTAAGGGGTCTCGCTGCTCTTGGCATGACTGCTCCCCTTTGGCCCTATTAACAGGGTCGCACCTTGTGGAACGAAGTTCCAATCAGTTTAGCTCGCGGGACCATTGCAGCACTCAAGCCCGACCACCACGTCAAGGTGGCAGCTTTAGGTGGGGACTTTAGATAAGTGGATACTGTATGTTGCTTGCCCAGGAGGGCAATTTCCCGACGGATTTCTTCCTCAGCTCATTCATCATTTGAATGAGACCGACTGAGGAAAGTTAACAAAAATTGTCTCAAGATATCAGAATGATATTCAAAACATGGGCGTGCTTGGTAAGTTGCATTTGGATTTCCATCGGGCATAATTTGGAGAACCAGCTTCTCATGATTGACGATTAAATGAATTCATTTAAGTCATTGCTTTTCTCGGGACGAAGCACCGTGGTTAATAAGCATATGGTTCACTGCATACGTTTCAGCTTATACACGGATAAAGTGCACAATTTGCACATACGTTATGTGGCCTTCATAAGCGAAGCTAGAGAGGGTGCAGGTATAAGGATGAAAGGGGTTTCCAATGTACTTAATGGATGACATCTCTTCCGTGAGGTGAGACAATACCGTAGTTCTTACACACTAACTCTACAATGTACTCACTTAATTTTTCATATCCGGAAGCACCAACTACCACAAAGAACCACGAACATATTCGAATCACTGACTCAATATAGTAACCAAGAGCATCAATCTCACACCAATACATGTAGACCTGTGTAACAAACCTTTCGTGAACCGGTTGCAAGCGGTGATAATCCGGGAAATAGGTTTGGTTGACGAACAGCTGGTTGCTTATTCCGATAGCCGAATACCATTCAGCTATATATAATGCCCATGTCTCCGCTTCTGCCAAAGCAAGCACTTGTCCAACGGGAAACGGTAGGAGTTGTCCGGCTTCTTCAGACAAACTAAGCTCATCTGTCCGAAGTCCTTGTGAAGTAGAAACGAAGCCTAGTAGCGTGTGTATCTTTGGTAACTGAAACAGGACGGATTCGACAGCGCTACGCAAGGCGCAGGCGGTTCCATTACTTCCTGCCATACACGTTGCGCCAGGATCTAGAACTTTGGGTCCACGATCGACAACTTCCGGGAGGAAGTCTGGAGCCTGCTTTAACAAGCAAGTTTTACTCACTCCAGCCGCGTGACTTTCGGAAAGTAGTTGGGTAACATCTGACTGAGGCACGGAACAGTGAGATAAAGTGTTTTGTGGCATTGGGACTGTAGCACATTTCGTCATCATTTTGACCTTCGGCGATGTACGGATGCGTTTGCACGGAATGTTTTTAGCCTCTAAAGTTAGCCATCGGTCACACGAAAAATGGTATTTCTTTTGCCGCTCTAACTCATCAATTGTTATCTTTTTGATGAACCACTCATACCTGCCTGAAGGAGAAGACGAAACAGTTGTAGAAAATGAATAATAGAGCGTCAAATGCGCAAAAAGGTAATTCACATTCAGACCACTACAGGAGGCCGAAAAATGTCGACCTGGTATAAAGCTCGACTGTCCCGGTCTCCAATCAGATATACAACGCAACTAGGTAGGAAGGAAATTTTAACTCTTTGTTAGTGTAACTGAAGTTTTTTTTAACAAGTATTCTATTTTTATTGACCACGAATTTGCACATTGTACTATGACTAACCTGTACAAATAGGTAGGTCACTGGCACATGACGTCTCTAGCATCACATGACACCCCTTCAGCAATGTCTCTGGACCTAGTACACCTGAATGCTTCCTGCAAAATTTACATGAATTTCTTAAGCTAGTTAACATGAAGCGATGACAAGAATCTATGGTTTATTTGCTGCCGTTTTGGTCTTCGGACCTCACGATCACCTTGTCGAATTAGTCTTCTGGTGCAACCGTCAACGAAAATGGTCCAATGGTTGTAGGGCCATAGCTGACACAACACCTCACAGTGGGTGTTTAGACAAATTAGGGTAAAAAAGCGGAAAATTGTGCCCTAAATTTGTGCTCGTTACCCTCGGATTTCGGAGGTATGTATCCACCCTTCGATTTTAGATACAGGAATACAGGTTTTAAGAAACACACAAAACGAGGCATAAAAATGAAGCTAAATGGAAGCACAAGGTGAGCTGTGTTATATTTTTTCAAACATTTCTAAACGTTTCCAGGATCTAGTCACTAAAGGTGACGGCAATTCTACAGAAGTTGACGTATCTTTCAAAACGAGTGGTTTATGAGAGTGAAACTTCGGTACCTGATAATGATTTTAAGTAGGATGAAGTTTCATGCTATGCCGAAGCCGTTGAACGGATCATAAAAGGTTGAAAACCACTTATCTGTACTACATTAAGCATAAAGATGATCTCCTGGTGACTCCGTGGTTAAGGCGCGAAATTAATCGACCTGAAGGTTGGTTATTCGAACCTGACCTCAGCATCTTCACTGCTCCTGTCTAGACTTGGGCAATCTGGCAGTATCTCGGCCTTCGTGCTTTCTTCCGGGTGGCACGGCAGTTGGGCACCGAGAGAGAGCTACAGTTGAGCCATTTTTTCAACCAGAGACATCTTCAACGTTTTCCACTCTTCTCATTGAGGCTTCACGTAGCCATTCAAGCGGTTGACATCTGTTTACTTGTCCTCCCCAAAGAGTCTACAAAGTCTCAGGAAAAGACGTCTCCGACATTGCCATAACTCTGGTTTGCCCGTGTATTTGCAGAACTAAGGAGAATGTTTATTCGAATTTTCATAGAATCAGTCTCTCAACTTCAAACAGTCGGCTAGCCAAGGAATCCAATGAGCTTCCATGAAAAAACCGATACGCAAAGCAAAACCGGGCCACCGGTTTCAGATCATCAAACACTCAGAGTAACGAGAAACTTAGTTGGATGAGACCACGCGGGATGAATTACAGTAGTACACTCTTGTACGTGTTTTAAATCTCCACCGCACGTCGATTTTTTAATGAAGGATATGGGCAGGAAGGAGTAGTAACCCGTTTAACAAAGAATTCAAGACTGGAAAATGCGAGGCTCATGTGAGCTTGGAGGCATGAATTTTGCTCTATTACAATCTACGCTTAAGAAAGCCCCTGTCCTTACGAGTGAAGACACTCTCCGTTTCACCAGATGGCTTATTTATTCTCCAGACGGATAAACTACGGTTGAAATATCCTATACCATGACCCTGATGTGTCGGTTAGCCGTCAACCACAGCGTGTTGTCATTTCCGAAACTGGAACATTAATCCACCATATGTTATATATTACTAACCTGACTTAACCGATAATTCAGCCTTGGACGCGCACGTAGCACATTTGCTAGAACATTCCACAGTTGGCACTCCGACAAAAATAATGCATATGGAGGGCTGGATGAAGTAGCACAAGATAACCGATTACTTCCCGTGTTCCCAAAAATCATCGTTACACAATAGCAATTCTCCGTCATATCCCATGGTTTGGAAGAGGGCTCTGATGGTATCAATGAATATGCCTGTGCCCTATAACTGACAATAACATCTATACATGTAGTGAATCATTTTAAAGTAACTGACCACTTGAGAGTATTTTGGAAGTGATCTAATTCAATCACGAGGACGCTGCTTGAAGATATTTACGTTCAGCAGAAAACGGAGAGAACTTGCTGCAGAGAATTGACGGGAATTCTTGTGAAAAAATACAGTTTTATTTGATTCAATATTCTTGCGGAATAAGAAAGAGGTTAAAAGCCTAAGCAACAGTGTATTTTGTGGTGATTGGAGAAGACGTTGCTTTACGTTAGAGTGAATGTTGTTCAATTAGTATTTGTCTGAAGTTGTTTGCTGAATACTCAGAACGCTAGAAACAGCTTCACAACAACGGGAGTGACCAGTGGCAACGGATCAGACTGTGTGCTCTGTCAACTAGATACAACTCCTTGAGGTATATATGGAAATCGGTTAGACAGATGAGAAACACGCGCTGAGATGTCAGTTGGTATGGTAATCATTTCAGCAATAGGAAGCGAAGCCTATGTGTGTCAAGGTACCATATGCTTGACTTTTGAAGAGAATGTTGGTAGCTCAGGTAGCGTAGATGGTCGTTGGTTTATCCGGTGATTGGAGTGACTCCAACATCGACCAGACTACGAGAGCAGGGGAGGCCAGGCTCAGGAAAGGAACCGCCCGACCGAGCAGCCAATCCTGAATGAAGGTCATCGCCGTCATAAGCACGTCTACTAACACACACGCAACACTAGTCAACGCACAACAACCGACCCATCGTTACGCTCCCTAACAACGCACTGATGATGTCACTTCGATTGGTGGTAAACGTTTGCAATCAAACTGTCCAACTCAGTGAACAAACCAACGACCATGTGCTTAACTTATCCATATGAGGCACGCACGATTCCTGTGCATTCGAAACCGCTCGCAAAGGCTCCATGCAGGAACCTAAGTACCTGCAGTGGTGAAAAACTTCACATAAGTGCTGGGGTTAAATAACCGTTTTTATGTGTTGACACTACTCATGAGGTGGAGTCTTCCGCGTACTACATTAAAACAATGGAGGGGCGCTGGTGTACTAAACTTTCTTGACTGGGTTCCACAATACGAAAGAACCCACCCACGTTGTCCATTTTCGGGCAAACAATTTCAACCAACAAGGAGCCGAAATACGTCCTGCATGCAGCAACAAAAACGCTTTTAAGGAATCAATAATGCTTAATAAAAAGGGGGCTATTTCGTGGTGAATTTCTAAACATCAGTTCTAAACATACAGTTACTTTGAGCAACAGCCAGCTAATCAGGACACGCCAAAGACTCACGGTATCATAAAGATGGCAAGAGTTGCAATATTGTTTAATACTTGTAAATGTTGTTGCACCCAGCGTAAGGATGCCTATTGTACGAGAGTGGCTCTCTGTCAAATAACATCAGGAAGTTCATGTTTTTTAGCCATACCGGTATCTATTTAATTTATTGTAGCGTCCTCGGTTGAAAGGTTTCCGTATAAACACAATGTGGAGGGTGTAATGAGCTGCTCCTCATCAAAGAATGGCCGATATAGACCGTGACATATAGTTTGCACGCGTAAGTAGAGAAATTTTAATTGTGTCCGGATGATTTTAAACGGTTTTCAATTATCTTGCGTTGCCTAATCCTAGCTTTCAGCTATATCACCTTCACTAGGTATTACAACTCTAAAACTTTGTAGTAAGTGTGCTTGCTACGAGCGTATGCAGTCCAGGGTGAGGCGAATCAGTTTGTCGGCTGTGCTGAGGATAAAGGCCTCGAAATGCATCAACTAATAAATCTAGGTCGGATGTATCTGGCATTTTGATTGTGGAGTCTCCTCCTGGGGAATCAGAATGTGAATAATTCTCAATGCTGACGGGAGTTGTTCTCTAGAGAGGGGAATGCACTGGAGAGCATTCAGTGCACCTTAAATTATCTCCTTCATGGTGTTTTCATGAGAAATGAAATGAGAAATGAATGAGAAATGAAACAACAAACATCTGCATAAATATTGCCCGGAGGAGATTCCTGTAATTTCATACCCAAGTCGCTCGGTCAAATGAACGCAACACCCTAAAGGAAAAAGGCTAAGTGTAAACTGATCCAAACGGCTTACTATTTTTTACACCGTTAGGAACTGGCCTAATGTCGACTCCAATAACTTTTCCCAGTGAACTGCACACAATAGCAAAATAGTCGACTTGAGGACATCCTTCGTTGGTTATTGTGGCCATGAAACTCGGTGAAAGCGGTCTTCGAACTGGGACATCGCCAAAGACATGTTTCGCCCCTGCACTACGTCGCCCCAGCATTTCCGGATCGCGGAGTATGACAGTATGACCGGCGACCTCCCCTAGGCGGGCCAGTTCTGCGCTGACAAGTTCCAAGCTTGGTGACGAGCAGTTCATTCCGCGAAGAACGATACTCATCGGCGGCGTGGGGTTAGGTAGGTGGGTGGTACTGGGTGCGTAGAAGTCTCGATAGCAGTCTGCCTGTTGCAACCGGTAGTGACGAACAGACTCAACACGTACACGATAAACCACATTGTCGGCTGAACTAGTGGTAGATGCATCACTGATCTGAAAAGAACAGGATGAAATAATGAACTTTTCAGTATCGACATTGAGAAGTCAGAAAGACAGTCTTTTTTGACTTCAGCTAGCTTTTCTGGAAAGCTTTGATGTCCGGGGTCAAAGATATTTCTAATCACCGTGGCATCTGGCAAACAAACAAACGCACCAAACGTGAGCCTCCAAAGTACCCCACATTCATCGTACCCCTAATAAGAGTGAACCGTCGAACTGCCTGCTGATATACAGTCCGGCCGAATTACCGGACACTCAGCATTCATTGCGCATTGCACAGCATACCTATCGTTTCGTAGACCACAAATACAATCTAAAAAGTATCTAAGATGCCGACAAAGGCACTGAAGAGTGGAACCACAGAACAACGCAGCCTACATAAAACCGCCTGAACATGCAATTTTATGTACGTAGTCTCTGGTTTACTCATTAGGCTCGAAATAAACGGTGGATGTTGTGGAAATAATCTAAACCGGCGACCTACGGGGAACTATCCAGGAAGAAATACTCACTTTTAGCATATGACCTTACCAACTGGAAATCGTTTCTATCAAGACTCGCCTTCGTGGTAATAACGGCTACCAGAATCGAACGGGAGACCCTGATTCGTCCCGCACTGTGTGCATTATCCTAAAAACGGATAATCACGACCCTAATGTCCGTTAGGACTGTTACCAATTTTCTAAGTGACCACGTATAAAATTCGTCAAAATCATCACCATTACGATATACAATAAACAATGGTGAAAAGTGATCCTCATCTGCCACAAAATGGTGGGTTAAAAGTCTGGGGAAGAGTAAAGAAGACCTGAAAAAAGCCCCATACCTTAAAGAAAACATACAATAGAAAGATTACAGCTTTCAAAATACATTTAAGGTTAGAGCAGTATGCCATCAGCAGGAGTGATCCAGCACCACCTAGAAGCCTCTCGCAAGACACATTTTCAACACACAGCAACAGACAAGTGTTAGCTAGACAGTCTTCCTAAGAAGTGACAGTAAGCTTGCCACTAGGATGGTTTACTTCAGGGTTTTTGACACGGGGAAAGGGAAGTCACGTTGACCCAAACTAGGAAGATAGGAACAACCTTGGCCCTGTGGGCCAAAAGTTCCTCTGACAATAAAATGCGCAGTGTCTCTGAGGTTCTCCAGGAAATTTGTCGGACATTTCCACTGGGGAGGGGCACCATACACATTGACGTGAGTGATCCAGCCAAAAATAATTCCCCGCAATTTACAGCTCATGGTTGTGTGAATTCCCCGCACAAACAACACACAGGGGTGTGACCAATATGATTTTGTAACTTTTAATCAACTGGAAAAAGTTTGGAAGCGATTCAGTGAGCATCGTCCGAGAAGGGCTTGGTGGACAAAAAACGGTTCAATGATTTTTTATCAACATAGGGTGTCAGATAGCCTATCGGTGTCTAGCAAGTACAATCCCAGCACTTCTAAAAATAATAAACAGTAATAATCCTTCAGCTGTGTCACGTGCTGCGTATACCTGCCATGGAACTACGGACCTTTTGGTCGGTGGTTTCGCGCCTTAATGACTATTGACTATAAAGCTGCAAAAGTCCTAGCTTCAATGTGCTGAGATATTCTGCTCGTACAGTGAGATCTAGGGCGTCTAGAACAATATAGGATCTTCGCGTGTCGGATAGGGAATTGATTAGTTGCTGAAGCAAGGTGTCTTTCGACGAAACAATGTTACATTTGATTAGTACTGTTAGAACCAGTGCATGTCATTAGGAAAAATGGTAGACGAACGGTAAAAGACAGCTGTTTACAAAGATCCATTAAACCAGAGAACTCTCATGTTAGGAACTGAAAGCCATGAGAGTGCCGAAGTAACCTCTGTGGCGGCTGTGGAATCGAAGATAACAGCCTCCTGATAAAGAACATGCTGTGAACATGATTAATGTACTTGCGCCCAAGTTTCATCTATTGATAATGCACAAAAACTGGACCCAATAGCCACTTGTCCATTGTACCAAAATTTGTTGGCATTAGGAGCTACAATAAAAACGGTAGAATAAAGTTTGATTAATGGACGAAAAACGGTAAAGGTGAGCAGTATTGCAAAGGTGTTCGATTTCGCGCTTGACATACCCACAGTTTAGATCCATGTGATAGTGCTCGTTAATTGGAATAGAAAAAGATTTGGAAGATAATTACGGGATGGGTGGCATCGGCAAGCGTGTTTTCGCTGTATACAGCGAATAACAAGATTCAGCCAACAGTGGTATCGACACTTAATCAGAACAGCTAGGAAACCGTTTAGGTCAAACTTTACGGGATAGGAAGAAATCTGATTCTAATTTCTGTGGGCTGATCAAAATAAGTCAAGTGCTTTTTCATGAATAAAGTCCTGTAGCAGCGATCGAAAAACGTGACTATACTGTCATTACGAAATGAAAGCAAAATGATCACATTCGGCGAAAGAAGTGGAATAACGACGTTAGGCAACGGAGTCGATGTCTCAAAACCGGTGAGTAAACTCAAGAGGTGAAAGTGCACGCACGGCTGTTTGCTCTTGTACTACGTATACGTGTATCGTTGAGAACGAAGCCCTGAATATGGGACAAAGGATGTTTCGGAGGAAATGCAATTGAACATAGGACTCACTTTGACATCTTTTGCAGCCTTTACTTCCTCACTGACTCTATTCATTTTGCGGGACGCTTTGGAGGCCTTCGGCTTAAAATCGACCACGGCCTCCCCAGAGCCTTGGACAATCTGAGTCTTTAACTCATTTGAGGGTATTCCTAGGGCCTCTGTTAACGCGTTTGCGGTGACTAGTGCTAACTTCTTCAACTGTTCTGAGTTAACGCGATCACCAGTCTTTTTTACGGGATGTACTACCTGCCTCGAAACCGTAGAGCGTTTCCTTTTTGGTGACGTCTTCAAAGGATGGTCGTTTTTATCACCAGCCACTTGTTCAGACGTTGCGAAACCTTCGTCTGTCGGAGCCGTGGCTGAATTTAGTGGACTTGTACACCCATGTACTGAATTCGATGTATCAGCATTCGATATTTTGGAGGTTACCAAATCCAATTTCTCAAGAGCATACTCACTGAAATAGAAGAAAAATGTTATACAAACATGCTTTACTGTTCAAACAGCTCAACTCAACCAAACACGGTCCAGGCAACATTGTTAGGGTAATTGAGAACCAGATCAGTTCACTTGGACTTGACAAGAAAAATTCCTCTTAGAAACTCTTTTTAAGCTCATTTCTAAAAATTACCAACGACACTTGCTTACGGTTTATCGGCTTACCCTTTGTCCATGGAAAACCCTATGGAATAAGTAGTTCTCTACTTATCCAGCAGTCTTCCATCCGTTCTGTCCAGAAACACTCGTTTAATCAAGCTGTTGGCGCCAAACTGAACAGAAGGTTCTACGAACCAGCAGCTGAATTGCTTAATTACACATGTTTATGTGGGTCTGAGCTATTTTATAAACAAAAGCCCAACAAAATTCAAGGTAAAGGAAACAAATAATCAGAGGAGAAATCCAGCACGAGTTGACAACATTTAGCTAGTGCCACAAAAAGGACTTCTACACCAAAGGTCGATTAGTAAAGATTGTCGAGACCAAGTGAAACATATTCTGTTACAAGTCGACAAACGCAGTGCAGCGCAGCCTCCATACCTCGTACTAATGAGTACGAGGTAGTCCAAAGCAACCAAGTGTTGTTTTCGGATGGACAAGTATTCCGTTGTGCTCCAAGATTGCCATACATCCTATGGGGACGGAATAATAGAGCGTTTTGGAGTATCTGGGTAGTCTCAAACCAAAAAGGTGACCAATCCGCACAGAAGATACCAACATCCAACTGACTTTCACCTCGATCAGGAATACCATAAGCAGCCAATAAATTGGGACTTTTGCGCGTCATGAAGCTAAACCAGTCTACCTACCAAAAATTTCTCTCAGCTTCAACAGAAAGCTGAGCAAACTTCTTCCATATAACATACTTCTCTCGCCGGTTAGCTGCCGACTGAAATACTTTATCATGGAACAGATAAATTCCCACTTCATGGGTCATCAAAATAATTAGAAGAAAGTGAACCTATGCTGAACATTTACAGCATTCACTTAAAGCATTTATTGTGTACACGATGCTGCAGCTAGCTGATTAATTGATATGTGGTAAGATAGAACGGCGGCAGCATGTTGACTGCCTTTAATCTGTCAGCCAGCCAGTGTCAAGACTGGCTGGTACAGTTAAAACGACAAAGTACGTCTTGAAAGAACAGTTCCGATAAACGATGATGCCGGTGAAGTGGACATGACTAGCCAAAACAAATAGTGATATAGTACGGGGCGCACGAGGAAAAGAAAAAGATTTCCGCCGAAGTTATTACAAATGACAAGTTTATTTGAAGATTTTTGAAACGCATTTTCACCATCTTTGCAGCGTCAAAGCCTGGTTACGGTTACGGTATCAACACCTGGCAGCAATTATCAGACGGACACTGGTACAGTTCAGCGCTGAGAAGACTTTCGAACTTCTTTCGACTAGGCTGGGGTGGATAACCAAAAAATGATGTTGAGTAAAGAAATATCATAAGGTAGGATCTAACAGAGTCGGCAACGTCGCTATCAGTGGGTTGGAGTAAAGTTGTGCGAAATCCTCGACCATGAGACTTTTGCCAACGTCTACGAGTGGGAGCACGTGCCTCTCCATTCACTTGAGGTTACTACGATTGCGCCTCACGTGTGTCGGTGCGCAAGACTGGAACAGCCGCAGATACTGGGTCGGGAATGTGAGGAGGACTTACTGATATGGTACAGCATGCCACAGTAAATCAAGATGAAGTACTATTCTGTAGTTGCACTTCTCCACCTGGGAAGTCGACAGACTTCATTTTAGCTATTGGGTCCCGGATCGCGAAAGCCTACAGGCGCAGATGGAAACAGAACGCATGCAACGAGGTTGTACTGTATCTCGCTCGGTGTCATATATCGCACATGTGGGACGCAGAGTTTCAGTCCTTCACAAGTGGTCTGAAGGATAACGCTAGGGCCTCCGTAGCAGGGCCACCAAATTGTGTTATGTACATTTATTTTCATAGAGTCCTGTGCTGTATCGACTAAGGCCTGGTGGCGAAATCAGACGAAGCTCTCGAAACTCAACCTAACCACTATGCAGTATTTCGCAAAGGTAATACAGTGAAATTTACCAAAATGTGCCCGTAGTAGGACAGCAAGGTCACAGGCGGATACTCAGAATACCCTCCGTTTTTGTGAACTTGAACGTGCAAACCTGTGTGTAAGTTTATCCACTTTCGAGAAAAAAGACAAGTCTCACCGTGGGTACCATTTGCGTTGCGCGAAACCACGGTATTTCAGGGAAAAGAAACTAGCGACACAAGATCAGTAACAAAATCTCATCCGACTGACCCAGCACACGAAGATGGTACTTCGGCAGGCTTGATTAGGCCTGTGGAAGGTTCACGATACCTTTTGAGCGAATCAGCATCTTGTAAGGGAACCACCCTAACGGGAACGCTCCTAAGGCGGCGAGCACCGTTCTTCAGGGTTTCCTGGTTTGTTTTTAACAGGTTGAACGAATAAAGGTGTCTCCGTGGTATCCAGTATCCTTGAAGAGGCTAAACAAGAATAATGCAAAACAACTGTCGTTAGTTAGCATGAATAACTGGCATCAGCAGAAACAGGCGTACGCCTCACAAATGGGATGTCGCGGACTAAAAACAATTTTTTGGAATATTCTTTGAGAGGAAAATAAAGCTATTGGTAGAAAGTGGAAATATGGTCTTTATTGCAAGTTATTTACGGTGCGTATCATACGTTGCATAATATTCACTCCTATATCCCCGGATGATTCGGAAACTATCGCATGATAAGTCTGTAGAGAATAGGCAGAACTGATGAGCTACTGTTAAGGCTTTTAGAACCAACAAACTCATGCTGCATACGTCCTTTCTCGTTAACGACCGGCCAATTCCGGTTCAGCCGCTTTGGATAAGCGTTCCCGATACCAACACTTCCCAATGAATGCTCAGTCAACCCAAAAGTATAGAAAATGTTCCCCAAAGCTCCAACTACTCTTCGGATAACTTTCACATGAAACCTTGAAAAATATGGCACATGCAGGGAGCAACACTTGGTCATGAGAAAACAAGATCTCTTACCGAAACCAAATAGGGGTAGGAAAGTCGCTATCAACATTTGCACGCAATCCACATTTTTGGAGGATATCGGAGTTGGGAAAGACGGGTGGCATACGTAGAGCGCTGTACGCACAGTAAACAGTAGAAGCTACTGGATTGACTACTGGTGAATCTGGTCCAGCAACGATCAGGTTTCCGTAATTTTCCAACTCCGTAGTAACGAGATACCTTGTGGAAAACCAACTTTGTTTATCTGATACGAAGAACTTAGTACCATATGGAGGGAGCTGTCTCAGGCAAGACTGCACCTGAGAACAGACACACAGGTTTATCCTGAAATCGACGGCTCAAAACAATATGCATCTGGGCAACGACTGTGTTCAGTCATGTGTGAAGTTATGAATCAGAGTACACTTCAGTTGACAGGTATGATTCCAGGAGCTCTTCGAATTTGAAATCGACGGCTCAAAACAATATGCATCTGGGCAACGACTGTGTTCAGTCATGTGTGAAGTTATGAATCAGAGTACACTTCAGTTGACAGGTATGATTCCAGGTTCAATTTCATACCATCTTGCTTATGCACTCAGAACAAAATGGAAAACTGCTGAATTTTGGGTCACGAGACATCAGACAGAGCCTACTACTTTGCGCACTGTATTTGTCAAGTCATCAAACCAATGAACATAATATTGATAAACTGGCACAGTGGTTAGCAGAATAGTCAACTCAGACATAATCCGAACTGTGCCCCCTCTAACTACTCATGTTGATGGTAACTCGTTGTAGTTAACAGGCTGCACGTTTTGCCGGCTATGAGCTCACTAGAAAATAAGATGGAGCGAAAAAATATAAGATGTGACATGAGTTGGAGCTTGAAGTTTAGGTACTCTGAGCAAGTAATTCATAAGGCCGAAAAGTCATCTGGATCAGTGGAACTAATCTTAATTTGGAATGTTTCCCCAAGATGGCGAGAGCAATAATAAATGCTACAAACTATCTGTTGGATCCATCCGCGCATTATCAGCGCGTTAGGTAAAAAACGATCGGTTGGCTACACCATCAAACGCGAGTCCATTACAGGCAAATGATGGGGTCAACGGATAAAAAACATGATTGTTGATTTGAATTCGAAAAACAAAACGACTTACGTAATCCTACCTGGTTGTGCAACAAATCAAGAACCCTTGGATGCTGAAGTAATCGACGAGTGCGCGGTACTTACATCAAGCCCATACTCACTTGTGCTGAATCCAACACAATTCGTCCGGAATGTTGTCCAGACTTGCGCGAGGACAGAAGATTGTCCCGTTAAACTCTTACCACAGCATAAGTGACAAGCATAAGCTCCTGTAGTGCGTTACGGAGAACGCGGAATTTCGCATGACATCTAAATTGTGTTCAAGTGCTGGTCCTCGTGTTCAACAGCTTAGTCCTATTTGAATATATTTAATTGACGAAAAATTTGTAAGAATGTCTGTTTTTTAATCCTTGGAAGTTGTGGGGTGGGTTTACGTAAGTAATTTATCAGGGAATTCTTAATGGAAACTGAACTTAGAGTGCAACGCGGATATAGCAGCCGAGGTTCTGGTCTGGTTAGGGTAAGGATAACGATCGGTGTTACATTGGAGACATGAGAACTCTTCTGATGTTACCGAGGAAAACAACTCATTTTTCGTCTCGTCTGTTACTCGCATCCCTGATGAGACGACGGACAACATCCATTCAGTTTAATGACAGCTTGACAGAATTTACATCCATTACGGGTTGCCACATCACGGACTTTCCTCCGCTAATCCTTCATCAACAAAGATTTCCAGTGAAAAAAATTTGCACGCAATCCACATTTTTGGAGGATATCGGAGTTGGGAAAGACGGGTGGCATACGTAGAGCGCTGTACGCACAGTAAACAGTAGAAGCTACTGGATTGACTACTGGTGAATCTGGTCCAGCAACGATCAGGTTTCCGTAATTTTCCAACTCCGTAGGAACGAGATACCTTGTGGAAAACCAACTTTGTTTATCTGATACGAAGAACTTAGTACCATATGGAGGGAGCTGTCTCAGGCAAGACTGCACCTGAGAACAGACACACAGGTTTATCCCGCACGATTCAGCTCTTCGAAATTTGAAATCGACGGCTCAAAACAATATGCATCTGGGCAACGACTGTGTTCAGTCATGTGTGAAGTTATGAATCAGAGTACACTTCAGTTGACAGGTATGATTCCAGGTTCAATTTCATACCATCTTGCTTATGCACTCAGAACAAAATGGAAAACTGCTGAATTTTGGGTCACGAGACATCAGACAGAGCCTACTACTTTGCGCACTGTATTTGTCAAGTCATCAAACCAATGAACATAATATTGATAAACTGGCACAGTGGTTAGCAGAATAGTCAACTCAGACATAATCCGAACTGTGCCCCCTCTAACTACTCATGTTGATGGTAACTCGTTGTAGTTAACAGGCTGCACGTTTTGCCGGCTATGAGCTCACTAGAAAATAAGATGGAGCGAAAAAATACAAGATGTGACATGAGTTGGAGCTTGAAGTTTAGGTACTCTGAGCAAGTAATTCATAAGGCCGAAAAGTCATCTGGATCAGTGGAACTAATCTTAATTTGGAATGTTTCCCCAAGATGGCGAGAGCAATAATAAATGCTACAAACTATCTGTTGGATCCATCCGCGCATTATCAGCGCGTTAGGTAAAAAACGATCGGTTGGCTACACCATCAAACGCGAGTCCATTACAGGCAAATGATGGGGTCAACGGATAAAAAACATGATTGTTGATTTGAATTCGAAAAACAAAACGACTTACGTAATCCTACCTGGTTGTGCAACAAATCAAGAACCCTTGGATGCTGAAGTAATCGACGAGTGCGCGGTACTTACATCAAGCCCATACTCACTTGTGCTGAATCCAACACAATTCGTCCGGAATGTTGTCCAGACTTGCGCGAGGACAGAAGATTGTCCCGTTAAACTCTTACCACAGCATAAGTGACAAGCATAAGCTCCTGTAGTGCGTTACGGAGAACGCGGAATTTCGCATGACATCTAAATTGTGTTCAAGTGCTGGTCCTCGTGTTCATACAGCTTAGTCCTATTTGAATATATTTAATTGACGAAAAATTTGTAAGAATGTCTGTTTTTTAATCCTTGGAAGTTGTGGGGTGGGTTTACGTAAGTAATTTATCAGGGAATTCTTAATGGAAACTGAACTTAGAGTGCAACGCGGATATAGCAGCCGAGGTTCTGGTTAGGGTTACGTAAGGATAACGATCGGTGTTACATTGGAGACATGAGAACTCTTCTGATGTTACCGAGGAAAACAGCTCATTTTTCGTCTGGGATTTTACTCGCATCCCTGATGAGACGACGGACAACATCCATTCAGTTTAATGACAGCTTGACAAAATTTACATCCATTACGGGTTGCCACATCACGGACTTTCCTCCGCTAATCCTTCATCAACAAAGATTTCCAGTGAAAAAAAACGGTAGACGGTGGTCGGGCGTACGTGCTACATTCCAAAATCACCTAGATATGATAAGCCCAATCTGCTGTTTAAATGAATGTCACAATCTGCGCTCAACCATGAAAAAAGACCCTTGGTTCCCATCCAAAGGTAGTCTTGTGGACACGCCTGAGAGTGTGATGTTGGTTTTGAAAGTTAATCCGAATGTGCACGTTGCTGGATTGCGAGAAATTTCCTGCTCCCCTAAAGGGAAGGAAGAAACACATGTCAAGAATTTCCACTGATTTCTTTAGACAATCAGCGCAATTACCGAGAGTTCCGTCCAGTCCGTATTAGGTAAGATAGATTCTTAAGGATACCTTTCCGCGGACCGATTGGATAGTGATAGGCTGCCGAAGAAGGCGACCAGATCTGCCAAATTCCATACACAATTTCCCCAAAAAATGGAATGATTTGAAGAGTGTATGTTGAATTACCTTAAGAGTGACCAAACCAAACCAATGATGTAAAGCGGCGTCACCAAAGCCTGATGTGAAACAGTTTATTCTGGTAATCTCTAGTTAGCGTAACAGGGAATTTGTGAAATTATAATATAAGGAGCGTGTGCACCGAAATCTATGCGTGACTCACGACCGATTAAACAAACTTCACATGTTATGCCCAGGTCCTTACATGGAAATTTGCCAAATATCAAAGGTAGGCATCTT